GAGGGATAATGAAAGTAAAGGAAGGGTTATAAATTAGGTAGAAGAGATAGATGTAGTGTTGAAATCAGATAGAGAGAGAGGGAGAGAGCGAGAATGAGAGAGAGAGGAGGAGAGAGAGAGAGAGAGAGTGAGACTGAGGTAGAGAGCGGGAGAGGGAGTAAGAAAGATTGATTGAAGATAGAGATATATATACATATACATATGTCGGAGATGATAGAATTATTCGAATAGAATATCTTATCGATATATCGGTTCATGCATAGTATTGGGTAAAATTGATTGAGTGAGATGTTAATTAACGCTAATATCGAGTGTGGTCCTGACGAGGTTGCCAGTTGGTTACGATGGATGTAATCGAACGTGCTAGTGAAAATCAGACAGTTGATTGCAAGAGGAAGAAGCGCAACAGTGCAGGAACACGCTGCACTCCACAAAATTATTTAATCTGCAGAAATATCCGACATATATAATATATCTCTATAGAGAGATCAAAAGAGAAACAGAGAGAGAGAGAGAGAGAGAGAGAGAAAGTCAGAATGGAAGAGGGACACATAGAGACAGAGACAGATACAATAAATGAGAGTAAGAGAGATAGGAAGAGTAAAAATGTAGTGGAGAGATAACTTGAGAGATTGATTTGCAGATCGCTATAAGGCTTCTCAGAAAATTATCTTGTGAGAATGGCAATAAAAGTCCGCTCCTGATACAAATTTTCATTTTGTAGCTTATTGATATAACTGTATTTCAGATTATGGATTTTCAAGTGACTGCTACTCTTACTCTCTATTGAGATAGCTTCCCTGCCTCCACCCTAACTTTGCAAACGAGTTCTGCGAAATTCCGCAACGCGCAGCTGATCAAATTACATATACAGCTCAAGGGACACCTGTGGATACCCTGTAAGCAGTAGGACGTGGCTAGAGGGAATATTAATTTGATTCCAGTGCAGGTCAAGTCAAGCAACGACTCTGGCTGCACTGACTCTCTTCTCGCTTGGACGGGATATCTGCTCGTCGGGCAGCCTCAGCCTCTGCCTCAGCCTCGGCCTCAGCCGCAGTCTCAAGCTCTCTGACTCTGACTTCGTTCGCTTATTTGCTTTCATAAATTGAGATTGTCGAGGGCTGCAGGGTGGCCGTGGTCCATTCGGCATCATCATTCGCCACTTGGCAGCTTTATGTCATTGCCGGTTAAGTGATGCATCTAATTTGCAGCTGTTGTCGCTGTCGCTGCCTCTGCTGCTGCTGCAGAGCGAAAGAAAACTCGTGAAGAATTTGCATTTGGTGCTTGGAAAAATGTTTGCATTCACTGTGTGCCGTGCGCAACGTAAGTAATGCCAACATAGTCTATCCGCAGCTCCCTTCTCCATCTCTCTCTCTCTCTCTCTCTCTCTCTCTCTTTGTTGGCATCTGTCCTGTGTGTGTGTGCCTGCTGTGCCTCATGCTCGTTAATTTTGCAGCATTTCCGCTAGCAATTTGGTGGCAGTTTCGCCGGCGTCGCCATCGTCGCCGTCTTGTGGAAATATTACGTATACGCGATGGAAAAAGCGCTAACCGGAAATGCAGGAAGCGGATATTACACGCTCCAGAAAACACACAGCGCAGCACGCCGCGCGCCAGTCGCATAATATGCACACAGATATGACTTTTGACGACAAGCGCCAAGGCTGTGCTCATAGCCTCAAGTGGGCTGCCCCACCCCAGCAATTGCGACATTTTCCTTATTGCTGTCGTTGTTGTCGTTGCTGTTGCTGCTGCTGCAGCTGCTGCTGCGCTTTGTTCATGTCTCGCATTTGGACAGCTGGTCAATGCGAAAACTGTTAGCTTCTTGCTGTCTGAGCGTCAACTGGCTAAGTGCTGCACGAGGCGTATACTTGATGCTGCTCCGGAGACTGCTATCAAGTATACGCCGTATGGGCATATGGCAATGCTGTGGCTACGGCCAATCAGCGAAAATATTGACGTTTTAATGATTGGATGGTTATAATTATATTTGCGCATATATTTGATATGCATCTCTGGAGAGTACTGCATAGCTGTCTATCGACTACGCCTGCTTAATTGATGCTCAACCGGGAAAAGCTCTCGAGCCCGCTCTAAAGGCCAAGCCAGCTTTAGCTACAATCTGACGTCATTTAAATGCCTCATCAGCCGCTTAAGTGCATAACACGGCGTATACTTGATGCTGCTATTCATATTACGTATACGTCCTGTGGTTCAATGCTGAAATTATCAAGAGAAATGTATGTATATATGTATATGTATATGTACACCAATAATGTCTGCCGTTGGAGGTATTACTCAAGGTGGCAGCGCGCTTATTTGCATACTCAAATGGGAGATTTGTCTAATTCGGAGATTTGTCCCTATTTGATAGCACGTTGCTCAAAAGAAGTAAATTGCAGAGGTACAACTCGATATAGGGCGCGGCCATAGAGGTCTATGAACATGGAGAGAGTGGCATATGTTTGCATATTGTACATCTGTATTGGCCGCCTTGTGCAGGGCATCTGTGGGTCGACTACGCTTGCCAGAGCTCGCCCTTTGACTGCAATTGGAGCGCACTTAATGGGCGCCGAGTGTTGGCTGAGTGGGCGTTGGGGCGTGGCTGTTAAATTGCTTGGCCCATTGCCTGGGCAGCAGTTGCTGCAATTGAACCCGGGGCGCGTCAGCTGCAGATCAAAGACGGCCAAGGCAAACATTTACTCACCTTTGAGCTGAAAGCAAACAGGCTGGGAGAGAAGGAAATGAAAGCTCGATTATGATTCGTGTAAGATTTCTTTGTTTTCTTTATTGAACATAATAATTTGTTGTTGTTGTTGTTGTTGGTTTTTAATGCTTGCTCACTTGCTTGTTAAATGTCTTCTGTTTTTGTTTTTGTTTTTTTGTTTTGGTTTTGCCTTAATTTAAATTTAATTTATTTAATTTTAATCGTTAAGGTTTTCTCCTTATGCAACTTTTTGACTTTCAATTATCCCTTCTTCATGCGCTTTTAATTTTAGTTTAGAATCGTAGCGTATATCAATATGCATAAATTTTATAATTATTTTAATTTGTATTTTATTTTTATGTGTGTGTGTGTGTGTTTTTTTTTTAAATTTTATTTTTATCAATTTGTAGCTTTTGCATAGAAAAAAAATATATATATACTTTTAGCCATAATAATGAACATTAATTTGCAGCTTTAGCTTCACTTTAAGCATATGTGAGCTGTTCTCTATCTGTGTGTGTGTGTGTGTGAGTGTATTAGTGTTGTTTGTATTTCATGTTTAGTTGCTAATTAACATTATAATATTTATAATTTTTATTTATTTGTTTTATTAAATTTTTCTTGCATTCAAAAGCGCCATCAATTGATCTGTATGTGTGTGTGTGTGTGTGTGTGTGAGCGTGTATTTCGCTTTGCATTTTTTTTATTATTATTTTATTTCAATTTTCTCAGCTATATTAATGTAAAAAATTTCAGCGTGTGTGTATGTGTGTGTGTATGAATTATATAAATATCGAAATAAAATAAATTTACTCGTGCATGAATAAATGCTTAAATTTCTATATATAATTTTTAAAGTTGCTTTTCTTCTTCATCTGTTGCTCATATAAATTTAAAATTGTCAGCCATTTGTTGTTTAATAAAAACATGTATGTATTTTCATTTATTTTCATAATTATTTGTAAGTTTTTACTTTTAAATCTTTTGCAATTTATTTATTTATTTTTCTACGTTTTTTATGCTGTATGCCATACTCTGTATACATATATATATATATTTAAATATATATAAATATATATATATATATATATATATATATAAATATATATATATATATCTATATATATATATATATATATATTTATTTATTTTTTACTTAATTCTATAAAAACTGCTTTAATTAAAAATTGTTTTGCTTTTGCTTCACTTCTCTTTGTCTTTTTAATGCATTTAAATTTATTCATTTGCTGCTTTTTTTTATTTTTGTTAATATTTTAATAGCTATCGTATTATATAAAAAAAAAAAATATTCATATATATATTTGTCTCATATTTTTGTTTAAGTTTAATTCTTCATGTAAATTCTGCTTTGCTATAGCTTTAATTTATTAATCTTGCATATTTTGGCTGCTTAGTTACTTCTTCTTCTTCATCGTTTTTGTTTAGGCTTCTTGTGTAATCGAACGTAAATGTTGTTAATTTTTTATTTAAAAATTAAGTACACACCGATTAATTTTTGTTTTTTTCTTTAAGCTAGCGTATTTCAGTTTATGTACAACATTTATGTCACTAATAGTATTTATATTGATGCTCCTTCGACTGAGAGAACTCAAACTGTGTGTTCAATAATTAGTAATTAATTGCATTTCGTATTTATTTAAGAGCTGAATTATCTCCCCCCTCAAATTATGTACATAACGAACACAAATCGAAACAATGTTTCACAAATTTGCATATTTTATAGATTTTTTTTTCGTTTTTGTTGTTAGAAGTGAAAGGGAACGCAGCAACTAATTAACATAAATTACATACACACACAGACACACACCCACACACACCCACGCACACCCACGCACACGCACACACACTTAATCATACTCATACTAATTAAAAAAAAAAAAAAACAATCAGAAATACGTTTCGAATTTGTAATTATATATTAATTAATTAGCATAATTAATTTGCATTATTGTTATTAAATGTTTCGCAAGCATTTTGAGCTGCATTAAAGTTCAACTTTAAGTACATAAAATTTTGGATGGATGCATTAGTCAGTTGATAAGTTTAAGATTGTATCGATAAAAAAAAACAAAAAAAGTACAATTAAATTTGAATTAAAAATATATTTTCTTTTGATATATATATTTTTCATATTATTATTTAATTTTTTTACTTTAGTTTTATTCTTTAATTTAATTTTATTTTTTTGTTACTACACAACACAACAAACATCTAGAATTTCGTGGGCTTATCATTTGGTTAGCATTCTCATAAGTATTTTATTTATTTATTTATTTTTTTTTTTATATAATTTTTTAGTTTATTTTGTAATATATATATTTTTTATTTTAATTTTTATACTTTGATTGTGGCCGTTTCGAGCGTGCTGGGTGAGGGAAGTGGGGAGGTTAGCGGAGGGCGGAGGGCGGGGCCATTATTACAACCGAATGTTCATTTAGCTGTCTACACAGAGCTCGCTCATGTATTTACCATATCATATCATATCATATCATATATTTGTATGTATGCATGCATATGCATATATGTATGTGTGTAACTAGATGTATGTACAAATCTAAATATCTTTTTTAAGTGCAAATGTCGACTTGGATGGATTTTCTTTTTTTTTTTTTAATTAATTTATTTTTTTGTTGAAAGAAAAAATATATATAATTGCAACGAATCGGGACTAAAAATGTAACTGGAAATTTGTCTCAGTGTAGGCTGTAGCTCATTTCAATTTGGATCTCCAGTTGCCAGTTTCGAGCTGGGCGTTGCGTGTCTTTCAGACAACCATAAGCATTTCATATACATAAGATAATGTATATATGTATATGTATGAATAATAAAAGCTAATCAAGAATCATATTTATATATAAATATATATATAAGTTGGACGAATGTGTTGAAGGTTTCAAGGAAGGTTAAGGTTGGTTTTCTTCTGTTTTCTTTAAGCAAACAAAATACATAGCTCGCTTGGACGCAATAAAAAGTGTTGTAAAATGGCAAAAAGGAGAATGAAACAATTTCAAGGGTTTCTCATTTGTGTGTGTGTGTGTGTTTTATGTGCTGTGGCTACGTGGCGTATGCGTAATCTTTTTGTTTTATCCTTGGCCAGTTCAGCTAAGTTGCGTATTCAATATTTGTATTTTGTTAAGTATTTATAATTAGCTTTTAGCAGTGTTGATAAATGTTTAGTTGTGTTTCTTTTTCTTTTTCTTTCTTTCTTTAGCTTGAGTTTATCATTTTGAGTTAGTTTTAATCTTGAACTAGTTGATTTTGCGTTTTCGATTTTGTATTACTAAAATATCGCGAACTTCTTGCCCGCTTCTCGCTTCGCATCTATTGCCTAGGCATTTGTCCTCTATCAGCAGTATCTCTTGTGACTTCGTTCGCAGTGCCAGTTGTGACGTCACTAGCTCAAGCATGTTTGTTGAAGCATTTCATGTATGTATGTAAATATATATATATATATATATATTTATATATATATATGTGTGTATATGTATAAGTATTTAAAAAATTGGCTTCTCGCTACTGTTGTTCGCTTCTTCTCTCTCTCTCTCTCTTTCGATCTCTCTTTTGTCTGGTTCATACATTTGGCCACTTGGTTTCTTCGTTTGTTAGTTTTCATGTTGTTTCATTTTTACTTGTTTCACACTTCACCTCGTCTCGTTTCATTTCATTTCCTTTCGGTTCGTTTCACTTTCGAGCGTTCCTCTTGCTTTGATTTTGTGTCTATTCATTTTTTGTGAGAACTTTTGCTACATTATCGTTATTGTTGTTATTATTTCAATTTTTCAGTAATTTATTTTTTAAATTTATTTATTTCTTTATTTTTTTTTTAAGTTTTCTTAACTGCTTATTGCGTTTTATAAACACTAACTTGTCATTTTATATTATTAATATTTTTTTTTTTTTTGTATTTCTTTTTTTTATAGATTTTTGTCATACTTATTAAAACTACTCAACTTAAGCCGATTGCTTGTTGTGTTTTCTCAATATTTTTGTTGTGTTTTTGTGTTAGCCATCCGCTTGTGTCATTGCTGTAACTTAATCAACTAGACGCCGTATAACTAGTAAAAAAATGTGTTTTTGACTGGCTCACACCAACATACTAGGTAATATATGCTATACGTTAAGTAATACTAGACAAAAAAAATATATAGTTTCGTTTGCTTACTAGCCTAGAATTGTAAATGTCTATCGATCGAAAACCGAAAATCAAAATACAAACAAACAAACAAATACTCGTATCTCCTCTCTCTTTCTGCACGTAAATACATCGTTGCGTTCTCTTTCCACCCAGACTTCACTTGCCTGCCCAAGCACGCTTGCTCTCTCCATTTTCATTTTCATTTCCATTTCCATATCCATTTCTATTTCCTTTTGATTCAGCTGTTCTTGTGGGTCTGAGGGGCTGTGTGGGCGTGGCTTAGTAGCGCTGCTGATACTCATGATGCCAGCGATTGAAGTCAATGTGGAACACAATGATGGAACCAGTTGACAGGCCAGCGAGCAAATATCTATGGAGAGAGAGGGAGATATGGAAAAAAAAGAAACAGAGAGGTAGACATAGAGAGAGAGAGAGTTAGTATAACTTATTAATCAGTTATGAGTGGTTATATCCCAAAGGCCTGCCTTCGAGTACTTACTTCTGATCATGAGTGAGGGCCAGCGAGCGTATGCCCGCATTGCAGGCGGGGAAGGCATAGAGCGGTGCCAGGTTGAAGGTGCGCCACACCTCGACAATGCCGCGATCTCCGGCTGTCATCAGATACTCGCCATCGCGCGAGAGCAGCATGCACTATAACATAGAGAGAGAGAGAGAGAGAGAGAGAGAGAGGGGGTAAATGTCGATCAATTTAGTACCTAGAGCTACACAGAGATTCAGCTGAGTGGGCGTGGGACTCACCTGCAGATTGTCGTTGTGTGTCTCGTGGCGCAGCTTCTTGCCATTGATGGTGTAGGCCGCGACGTTGCCCTTGTCATAGTTGATGACTATGAAGCCCTCGCGCGACATGGTTATCAGCTCCGGCGAGTGGAAGTCGACGGGCGGGTCCAGCGAGCGCAACAAGTCACCAAAGGTTGTGTGTATCAAAACGGGACCGTCTAGCAAGCAAAAGGCGAAAGAAAGAGAGACAGAGACAGAGAGAGAGAGAGAGAGAGAGAGAGAGACAGAGGGAGAGATCGCATGTTAGTCTAGGCCAAAGCTGACAGCGGATGGAACTTACTCGTTGAGCCCGACACAACCAGTCCGAGCTCAGCGCTGATGACCACCGAGGTGACTGCCTGCTCGTGACCCGTGAGCGTGGCACGGGGCGTGGGCACGTCTCCCTCGCCGACAATGCTCTGGGTACGGGCATTCCAGTGCCAGAGCAGCACGGTGCAGTCCGCCGAGCCGGACGCTATGTAGCAGTCCGACGTAATATTGCACTCGCTACGGGCCATGCACGTGACGACGCCGAAGTGCCCAAAGACGATTTGCACGATTTTCGCTAAAAAGACGACAGATACAAGGAACGGTACAGGGTGCTATCTCGGTAGGGTCTTATGGATAGAGCGACACTTCACTCTCTCGACCAATAGGGGTTGAGTAAGAGAGAGAGAGAGAAAGAGAGAGAGAGAGAGAGAGAGAGAGAGAGCGGGCACTCACCTGTCTCAGTTGCAAACACTCGAAAACTGTTGTCCCAGAAGCCGCAGGCAATGAGAAAGCGACTGTCCACGGTGGTCACAAAGCAGTTCGAGCGAATCTTTAGCATTTGGCTGAAGTTGTCGCCCAAATGGCGACGGCTCACCGCATGGCTATTGTTGTTGGTGCCATGCACAGCTGGAAAGAGAGAGCGAGAGAGGGAAAGGGAAACGGAGTCAATAGAATCCAAGTGCAAGCAGTTAACTTAGCTCTACTTACTCAGCACTGGATCAATGGTCAGCGGCTGATTGGAGCCCGGCGATTGCGGCGACTCAGCATAGCTTGGACTCTGGACGGATGCGGTGTAGTTGCAGTTCCAGCGATTCACCGCAAACTGATGGCCAGCGGTCACCGTGACGACGGACGGCAGCGATAGCTGCGGATACGTGTTGGCCGAGATGTGTATGATGGGCGAATTTTGATAGAACTTGAGCATCTGGCACAGATCCTCGGGCATGGCACTGAACATCATGGGCGACAGGTGCATGGCCGAGCTGCGCGGTGGATGCGGCTCCATCAGCAGCTGGCTGGGCGTTTGGCCAAAGTTGCGTATTTGATTCTCGACTGCCTCGCGCATCACCGGATCGAGCACGCCGTCCAGATCGACGCTGCCCTCATAGGTGAGATAGTAGAACACGTTGGTGGCCCGGATCGCCTCGGGTCCACGCTGCTTGTAGCCGAATATCAGATCGATCCACTGGTGCAGCTGGCAGGACACGAACTCCGATTCGAGAGCCATGCGATTGATGCGCACAAACTCCTCGGGGGTCTTGGCCCATGGGGGTAGCTCGATATCGTCCACCAGGGCGCCATCCTCACGATGTCCCAGCCGATAGCCGGACGCATTGTAGAACATCTCCGGCAAGAAATACCATTCGGGTATCAGCTCCTTCACATCGGACGTATCGCGCTGGCAGTTCTTCCAGCTGAGCGAAACGGACGAGAACAATCGATCCGGATAGTCGAATTTGCCGCCCTGCAGTGCCAGGAACATGGACGTGAATGGCTCCACGCGCACCAGCCAGTTGAGAGTGAATGCGGCGGTCGAGTAGTGCGTGCCGTAGTGGAAAGGCGGAATCGTATCGCTGTCCCAGCTCTCGTAGCGCTCCTCGAAGTAGGCGCGACGCGACGGATTCAGTGCGCCAATTGGCTTCGACAGATCCCGGTAGTTGGAGGGCAGGCTGAGGTCTAGATCCTTGGAGTCGTAGTTGGTGAGCACCCAGGGAAAGATCGGGTACTGGTTCAGATCGTTGTACGTGCGGCCGGCGATCGTGTTGAGGAACATCAAGTACTCAAAGTTGGAGATCTCGCGTCGCTGCCATTTCTGTGTCATGTTCGAGTTGCGCATCAGCTGGCGCGGCGACATCATCGAGGCGCGCCGAGTCTGCGGTATGCCGTACTTGATGCCCACGCCGACGCGTGGCAGCGCCTTGATCACCTTCTTGACGGTGTGCTGGTCGGGAAAGGCGAACAGGATGGAGGTGCGGCTGGCCAAGAAGATCTCCAGGGCCACGTTCTGCAGCAGGTAGCGGCGCGAGAAGATGGCCCGCACCTCGGAGAAGTACCACTTGCCATGGAGATGGTCACAGTACTTGAGCACCTCGGCGTCGATCTTGTGGAACTCCGGGTGATCCTCGTCCACCTCAAAGAACATCTCGGTGCTGGTGATCGAGACGGTGCCGGGCGCTACCAGGCCCGGTGCTATCAGGCGCGCCTTGGTGCTGATGTTGACGGGCCCGGTTAGATCCAGATCGAGTTCACGATCCTCGATGAGCAGCTCGGCGTCGTCCAGCAGCTCGCTGTTGTGCTGCGACGAGGGGTGCGCCCGGGACACCGCAATCTGTGTGTGGAACTCGTCCCGCGTCTGCAGGATGGCGTCCTCCGGTGCGCCGTTCTCCAGCGCCGCCTTCAGCGTGGCCTGCGGATGCGAAGAGCCGCGCGGATTCTGCACCATGCGCTTGCGGCGACGTGCGTCGTCCTCCCAGGCGTCCAGCTTCCAGTAGGTGGTCTTCGCCAGCGGGCCCACGGTCGCCGTCAGCGAGCTGGTGATGGAGCCAATGCCGTTGGCATCGCCCCAGGCGCCATGCCGATTGCACATTATGTTGCGCACCTTCTCTAGGAGTCGGCTGGCGATGACATTGTCGCGCCGGCGTGCGGCTGTGATCAGGTGGTCGCACATGCGCTCCTCCTCGCGCCGCTCGAGCAGCGTCTGGGCGCACTGCGACTCGAAGTCGGCGTGCTTGAGCACATCGTCGGCGCGCATGCGGTTCAGTATGAACTCAGCCTCGTTGGCCACGCGCACAATGTGATCCTTCATGGCGTGCGAGAGCAGCCGGCCCTCGTTGATCAGCTCAATGAAGGCGAGGCCGGCGTGCTTCTGCAGGCTGTTCTGCCACTCCTGCGAGCAGAGCAGCATGACCAGCTCGACGACGGAGTGCGAGTTCTTGAACGTGGTCAGACCCTTGCCCTCCATCAGCAGCTCCTGACCGTGCGAGCCGACCAGCGTCTTGGAGAGGAACGGCGCAAAGTCCACCATGATTTCGCGCAGCAGCGGACACACTGGACCCAGCGCTATCTCCAGCTTCTGCGTGAGGCTCGCCTCGCGCGACGGCGTCGTCAGCGGCAGCTGGGCAACCAGCGCCGGCGGCTTCATGGGCAGCTCATCGGGTCGCGTGCGCTGCTGCTGCTGCGGCTGCTGTGCGCCAGGCACGGTGTTCGCACTACCAGCACCGCCAGCGGCAATGCCAGCACCACCCACACCATAGCCGTCCGGCACACGCACCACCGATATCTCCGAATCGGGCTTATCGCCGCGCTCACTGCCCACGACCATGCCCAGTCGTGAGACACCCTGTTGCTGCTGCTGTTGCTGTTGTTGCTGTTGCTGCTGTTGCTGCTGCTGCTGCTGCTGCTGCTGGTGCTGGTCATGCTTGCCGCTGTCGCTAGCATCCACCAGGCCGACAACGAGTCCTGCACTGGCTGCCGCCTGCACGGCGGCGTCCTCATTCAGATTCACATCGGTCCAGCTCTCGTCGTTCGAGTTGCTCGGCTTGTGATCGTCGGCCAGAATATCGCTGGAGGACTCCACCTCGGGCACCTCGTTCTCCGTCGAGTTCATGTTCAGCGACACCACATCCGAGTCCACGCTCTAAACGGTTCAAGGATTACATGGGAACAACGAATACATTTCAATATATTAAGCAGGGGTGAGAGCCAAAGCTGAAGCGTTTTGTTGTGTGTGGGCTCGACATAACGAAAACAGTGGACAATAAAATGGTGCTGGGGTGGTTGAGGTGGGCAGTGGGTGGGTGCATTGAATGTGAAACATTGCATAGCTGGTGCTGCATAGCTATCGATAGTGCTGCGATCGATAGTCGATAGGCTATTCGAGTGACGAGCTAACATCGTATTAGTGACAGAACTAACAGCGTGTATATAGATATGTTAATAATGACTTTCTATAGTGGTAATCAAAGATTTATGATATCGACAATCGATATATTGCTCTAATCAATTCGATTGGCGACAGAGCCATGAATATAGATATATATGTGATGACTGTCTACAGTAGTAGTCAAAGTTAGTCTACAGTCTACACTCTTAGTGACTTTGATAGTCGATAAGTTGCATTTATCGATTACACAACCAAAGTAAACTTGCAATCTGCAGCATCGATGCTTTAGATCATCATTCGCAGTTGTCTATTGACTAACGATAGTTCTCTTTCGCATTCGATTACTCAGTTACCGATATTTATTAATTTCTGTTTACCGACTTAGCTAACGATAGTTATCGATTACTGGACTTTCGTTCACTGTATTTGCTGCTGTGCTGTGCCAGTGTGTATCTCTGTGTGTGTGTGTGTGTGTGTGCTGTGCATGTGTGCGTGTGTGTGAGCTCGCTTTCGGTATCGTTTGCACATTAATTATGCACCCTGAACAATAAATCAAATCTCCAGTGCGCTAAGCAAAGCTCATCCTCCGCCCGAATCCTGTTGACCAGCCACGTCCTCTGCACGCTCTTGTCAACACATGCATTTGTCAACGCCACGCACAAAATGTTATCTACAGATCTCTCTATATAGAGAACTACCCCTACCCCTACCCCACGCCCACCTTCCCGCTCTCCGGTTTCCCCCCTCCCAGCCAGCCGCTACATTCAGTCCCTGTTTGACTGTGATTTGCATAAAAGGCAATCCAGAGCATTCTATCGCTCTCCTGCTCTCACGCTCTACCCATCTCTTTCGCTCACTGTGCTGGCGCTTAAACAAATTTCGCCATTACGTAACTCAGCTCATCCGAAAAGCATTACCCAGAATGGACACGGCGGACAGACTCAGTCCACATGGACAGGACGGAAGGCAGGTTATGGAACGGATAGTCATATGACAGAATTTGTTAAAGCGTTTGACAAATGTCAACTGTCAAACACAAATGCTGAACCGAAATGGGCTGAGTAGGTGTTAACACAGCTGTTTCCATATGCGTGTATGTGTGTGTGTGTGTGTGTGTGACAGCTGTTGCGCCTACGCAATATGCTGCAATATCCTGCTTGAATGTTTGTGCAGCAACTAAAATCAATCGCCTTTTGTTTGGCCCAAAATTGAATACACACACACACACACATGGCATCAACTGTATGTGTGTGTGTGAGCTACATGATTAACTGTTCGCATGTGTGTGCGTGGAGTACAGCGAGAGCAGAGCAGGATTTGCTATATTAATAATGCAAGCAGTTCATTAAGAACCCAAGACCGGAAGACGGCACGTCGTGACTGCCGCACAATGAAAGCTGTGTGCGTGCGTGTGTGTGTGTGTGTGTGTGTGTGTGTGTGTGTGTGTGTGTGCTCTTACTCTAGTTTGTAACACTAATTGCATACCATATACATGGACATTAACATATATAAATCACAAGACACATACAAACAAATCCAAGAGACACACAACAAATCACGTGGCGCACGCAGCCAAATCAAACTGGAGTGCTGTAACTGTGTTATGTGTGTGTGTGTGTGTGTGTGAGAGTGTGTGTGTGTGTAGGCGCGGACTTACGCTGAGATAGCCTAATGATTTATTGATTGCATTTAATTGCAATTCAATTTGTATTCCATTTTTCTTTTTTAGCAACTCAAACAAATCTCAGCGAAAATAAAGAAAGAGTAAAAGTGGTATGCGCGACCCTATAGATGCTCTGTAAAATAACTCTCGCTTTGCAATTCGGCAACTGGCATTAAAGTTATAGCCTTTGCTTTCAAGAGAACTCAGAAAGAGTATATAGTTCTTTATATAAACCCAGCATAAAATTCTAGTTTAGAATATATAATAAGGATGTAATATGAATATAAAATATTTGATATTTGTGGCTCTTAAGGAGTGTAAGAGGTAACGAGGTAAGCGAGGCAAGAGACTGACAAACAGACAGACAGATTGATGGACCTGATATGCCCACGATATGCCACGCCTTCTTTAGCTTCGTACAGAAGCAAGTTAACAGTTAGATAACAACTCTCTCGTTATTTGTTGTATATGGTCATTTCCCTTATATAAATCGAATGTTGAGTTCATGCCTGATTGACTTTAGAGCTTCAAGTTTCTCTCTCGGCTAGCAAAAGCCAGTAAAGTCCCAAGCTAATTAGCTTGGCTTAAGATAGAGAGAGCGAAAGGGTGGTTAGGGGGGGGAGATAAAGGGAAAGCTGAATGCATCGGTTGTGGCATGCCAGCTCGAATTATCTGCAACGCCTTAAAGTTCATTTAGGGAGTTTATCAGCTGCGGCAGAGGGAATTAAGAATTGCTTGTGTGGCCAGCTGTAAGTCCCATAGATAGCGAAGCGGGCCGAGGAGCACGCGGAGGGCAAATGTTGCATTGTGCTGGTTAATTGATTGCATTGGCTCATTGCTGCAATATTGATTGCATTAATGCGCACGGCTCAGCTCGGCTCAGTTAGTAAATGCTGCTGCCTCTACCTCCGACTCTACCTCTGCCTCTACCTCTGCCTTTGCAATTATGCAATGTCACATTTGGTTAGGCCACAAAAGTAAAGAAATTAAATTACAAATTGGCAAACAAACACGGCATTAAGAGTGACAGAGGCAGAGCAAGAAAAAGAGAGAGAGAGAGAGAGAGAGAGAGAGAGAGGGAGAGAGAGTGCGAGGTGAAAGCAATATGAAAAATCGATTTGAAATTGTGAAAAACATGTTTCGTCCACACGAATACGAATCGAACAAAGGCCACAAAGTTGGGCGATATGAAAATGAGAAACAAAAGTTAAATAAATTTCACATGATTTGTGTGCTCTGTGCCGAGAGTGGTCTCTGTGTACGGTGTGTGTGTGTGTCTGTGTGCGTGTGTGTTTTGGCTCTGTGGGCGTGGCCAGTGCACTAATTAACACACGAAATGTCAACAAACGTTATGAACTTTTCAATTATATACTTGTGTGTATTCATGTGAGTGAGTGTGTGTGTGTGCCTATGTATGCGTGTGTGGGTGTGGGTGTGGGTGTATCGGATTCCGGCCTATAGCAGCCCTGCAGAGAATTTTAATCGTGCAATTATTTGCATAGCAATTTATATATTCACAAATATATATGGAAAGCTAAACCAAATTATATCTGCTATTTATATATGTATTCACAAATATGTATATATAAACCATATTATGGCTACTATTTGCAAATGTGTTCAAATACTGATTGGGCAAAGCAAATGTCCATTAAGTGCCTCTTGCTTCTCTCTAATTAAATGGCTTTCACTCAATGCAACCAACTATGTTTAGTTTGTCGTTCTTGCCTTTTCTCTGCTTCAGAAGGCATTAGTATACTCTGCCTGGATGGCTACGCTTCTCACTTCTCGCTTCTCGCTTTTAGTTTCCCTCTGAATTCTTCTTTTGGTATTACTCATGTTTCGATTTTAGCTCAAGTGTCCTTGAGTGAAGCTTATAGCAGTCTTTGCTTTGCCCTCTCGCTTGCTTTTAACTTATCTTCGCTTCTCTCTCCATAGATGACATAAGTATACTTCTAGCTTAACTTTTCGGTTCCTTTTAGCTGTCTTTACTTTGCTGATTAAAGCCGTCTTTATAGTCTTCCTTAGAACTTATCTACGCTTCTCTCTCCAAAGATTACTCTACTATTATGTATACTTTTGCCAGTGAATGCCCTCGCTATAGACTTATCTACGCTTCTCTCTCTCGACTTTTCGATTCTTTTTAGCTGTCTTTGCTTTGCTAGTGAATGCTATCTAGCCTGATTTTAACTTACCTACGCTTCTCTCTCCAAAGATTACTCTGCTATTAAATATGCTTTTTACTCGACTTTTCGGTCCTTTTTAGCTGTCTTTACGTTGCTAGTGAATGTCCTCTCTATAAGCTTGCTTTGAACTTATCTTCGTTTCTCTCTCCATAGATTATTTTGGTATTTTTCATGCTGCCTAAATTTTCGTTTCTTTTGTTGTTTTCATTTTGCTAGTGACTACCTGAAGGCAATCGATTATCTTTAAACTTAACTTTGCTTCTCTCTTCTGAGCTTCTGTTGATAATTTACAATTTTTTACTTTGCATAATTTGAAGCTTCTGCTTTCTCTCACTTGATCTCTGTTGCGCTTTTCAACAGGCTTTGTCATTATTGATGCTTTTCGCTTTACTTAACTTTAACTGAACTTTGCTTCTCTCTTCTGAAATGCTGTTACTATTTCTTACTTTGCATATTTAGAATTCTGCTTTCTCTCACTTTGTCTCCGTTTGATTTGCCAATCGACGATTTGTCTACTGCTTTGATCCACACTTAATTGCGCTTTTCAACAGGCTTTGTCATTATTGATGCTTCTCGCTTTACTTAACTTAAACTTAACTTTGCTTCTCTCTTCTGAAATGCTGCTACTATTTCTTACTTTGCATAATTAGAATCCTGCTTTCTCTCACTTTGTCTCCGTTTGATTTGCCAATCGACGATTTGTCTACTGCTTTGATCCACACTTAATTGCGCTTTTCAACAGGCTTTGTCATTATTGATGCTTCTCGCTTTACTTGATTTTTCTCTGCTTTCCTCAAGTGCAGCTTGCAGCTGTAGCTTGCTTTGCTTCGTACTAGGTGCATGCCCAGCCTACTCTACACACAGCCTGGCTCTACACTTAACTGCGCTTCTCGCTTCTCTGTAATTTGCAGACGCCTTTTGCACTTCGAGCAATGCTTCTTGCTTTGACGGCAATTTGCTTATTACGCCTTTGCCTTCGCCCCGCCTGTTTGCTCCGTCCAGTGTTGAGTAATACCTTGGCCTGGCTTGCACTTAACTACGCTGCTCGATTCACTACGCTTTTCACTTCACAATTAATTATGTTTACTACTCTTATTACTCTACTCTGTCCGGCTGCCCTGCCTGCCTGCCTCGCCTCGCCTCGCCCCGCCTTGTCTTCGTCTCCTTTGCTCTTTGTTGGCTCGCTTCAATTTTGTATTTTTCATTTGTTGCCTCAGCACGAATTATGCTTTAATACTTTTGTTTCTCACTCGACGTTGAGCTCGCTTCTCTTTATACTCAAATGGCCGCTGGGATCAGCTGTGTAACTTATTGTTTTGCTTATCCCTTTACAACTTTTCTCAACTAGCTACTTAATTGAGCTGCTTCTTTGGGCATGCTTCAGTTAACTTGAAGAGGTAATTGCTTTTCGTTTATATCAAATTTTCAATAGCGTTTCTATATCTCTCTCTCGCTTCCTCTTGCTCTTTCTTGCTTTCCTTTGAACTTCTTTCTTTACATTTGCCCTCGTCCCTGAATTGTGGTTTCTCTTTCTGACTTAATAAATTAAATAGATTCCAAAGAATTTGTAACTGCTCTACTGCAAGGCTCTACTTCAGAGCTCGGTAAATCGATTTGAAATTGGTATTTTTGGTATTTTTAGTATATATTTCGAGTGCAATAAAATGTGAGAGTCTTTGGGTGAGTGACAGCGGCACGAAATGCGTTTCTTTGTACGTATGTGTGTGTGTGTGTGAATGTGTGTGAGGTGAGTTGACTTCAATTGTTGTTGTTGTTGTTGTCAAACTGTTGCAGTATGTTTATTTTTTTTTTTTGTATGATTTTACTTTTACCTTTGGTAATTTTTGTGGAACCATTGGCTTGGGAGGTGACAATGGTTGTTGTTGAATTTTAATTGAATCTTTGGTTGATTTTACAGTTGTTGTTGTAGTTGTTGTTGCGGTTGTTGTCTTAGTGTTGTTGTTGTTGTTCTTGTTGTTGTTGTTGTTGTTGTTATTGTTATGAGCCTGTGACATTTTGTTTTGATTGATTTGCATCGTTTTAGTGTTTTGATTTCGATAAGAAAAACATGCAAATGAATTGGCTTCACTGCTTCGATTTTTGGTTGTTGTTCTTTTCCTTATATTAAAGCTAGCTACAATTTAAAACTAAGCTAAACATACACTCAGCCATACACATCCAATTGATTCATAGTTGAAAAGATTTCATTCGTCATGCAAAGTGAACTGAAGAAATCAATCTTAAGACTAGAAACTTGAGCTTGCTCCGGCCCCAGCTGCATACTCCATAGTCCCTCTGATATCACGCACACACACTCACGCACGCACACACTCACGCCTAGCACCATGAATCTGTTCACTCACCTTTATGGAGGGCGGTCCGCTCGAGTGCGAGTCGTTGTCAGCGAGCACCGACGGATTGTTCTCATCGACGACGATAATTTCGTAGTCGCTGTCCTGAATCTGACGGCCGCCTGTACCAGAAAGAAGACGAGAGCCGGATTAATACGAGTTGCATGTGAATGCAGATATATGGGTATTTATACACATATATATCAATATATACATATATAAATAGAGTCTAGATAGAAAGCATAATTCATAATAATTCATGTAGATATTCATTACGTTTGATATATTTAGGCACAAAAACAAGAGTAATAATATTTGTGTGTTTAGGCAATTCATATACGGCAAGTTCTCTAACAGTTACATCAATCGAACTGTGCCACAGCACTGGACGAGCACACAGAACTAAAAACGAAAGAAATACCAACAAAATATCGGCTAAATACATTAAGCTATGATACATAGTATATGTAGAAGTAGAAAGAGGAGCTCGAGGCGATAGAAAGGAGTTGGAATTCCATGTAGAAATATCAGTTTCCACTTTGATATTTGACATTTGACAAGCAGTTTAACTGTCAACACCTCACAGTGTTGCCAGATCGACAGCAGACAGAGTGGGTGCTATAGCTCGACAGTTGCATAAGAGCAACTGTCTTTGGTGACCTGTTAAAACCCATTAGAACTAGACAATTGCCTCAGATACTCAATAGCAACATGTTAAGCCTGACAGCTGCTGTCAAAGTGCCTGTCAACCGGCAGAGATTGGGCATATTTTTATTAAAGCAATGAGAAAATCTCAGCAAATGAATCCAATTTAATGCATTGGACTAAAGGGTAAAGCCTCAGCCTCACTCAGAGTGCCCACACTCTAATGGACGTTGAAAAAGTTGACAATTTATTATAGTATTTGAGTGGCAGAGATAGAGATAGAGAAAGAGAGAGACAGAGCGTGATGGTGAGAGAGAACAATATTCTAGTTGCCCGACACTTTTGAGGTGTGGAAATTGTTTGAGTTTTGCATTAATTAGTCAAATGGCTTTGACTGCATGTAGTTGATGTTCAAGAGCTCAAATTTGCATACCTAAGCACACACACACACACACACAAGGACACAAGCTGACCAAAATGAGAAACAAACAGAGAAAAAGAGAGAGAGATAGTGAGAGGGGGAGGGGCGAGAGGTAAAGCGAATATGCATAGCTTAATAGTTAGCAACTGCTTTCAACAGCATTCGGTACTTTTTTTCTTTTTTTTTTTTTTTTTTTTCTTTATGGCATCTAAAGTGCTGCAAACTAATCTGCTAGCTCAATCTCTGCTCCTCCCTCTCCCTGTCCCTCACCCCCCACTCTCACGCTCATATCCTCTGCATTGTGCACGCAGCTGCTGCTGTGCATTTGAATTCCTAATTCACATTGCTGCCCCTGCCCCTGCCCCTGCCCCTGCCCAGCCCTGCCCAGCTCAGGCCCCACCTGCTGGCTGGTAATTTTGTTATTTGTAAGGTTTTAAGAGTGCCATAGCCGGGGCTTACGCCCTTTGTTCGACCAGTGAATTGCAGCCGCAGTTGCAGCTGCAGTTGCAGTTGCAGTTGCAGTGGCAGCAGCAGCAGTTGCCGTTGCAGCTCGAATGAATCTCATGGATGCATAATGCAATCGAGAGATACGAAAGCTATTTGCAGGTGCGGCCTTTAGCCGGCTCATTAGCGAATTGCCTGGACTGCGGTTAGCACTGGCCGTGCGTTGTCCAAAACTGCTTTTCAGTGTTGCTTAATGTCTTAATTGAGATTTATGCCCGGCGCTGTTAAGTGTGCTACACTTTTTCGCCTGTCGCCACACGGCTCATACTCTCGCTTGCTTCATTTGCAATTATTTCCCAGTGTGGCGAGTGAGAGAGAGAGAGAGAGAGAGTCAACGAGAATTATGTGCAGGCCACAAATTACTTTTGTTTCAACATTGTAAACGTGTTATCGGCTCTTACAACTGGCCTTGTCCCTCTGCCACCCCCTCCTCCGCTCTCGCCCTCGTCCTGTCTCTCTCTCTCTCTCTCTCCCTTTCTCGCTCTCAGTCACATAATTTATATTCGTTTGCCTGCCTTTATTTTTTGCGACTAATTTACATTTTTGTCGCTGCCATTAAAAAATGCTCTCTGTGTATATGTGTGTGTGTGTGTCTGGGTGTGTATGTGTGTTCAGGCAGCAATAAAACATAGGAAAGAGAAGAAAAAGACCAGGAGAGCAATGCACGCGTGCCGCATGTCGTTCGCTCCGTTTTATGGCCCAATATTTTACGCCCGTCTACGAAAATAATAATGAATGCTGAAAATACCTTTAATTCATTTTTATGGTATGGAAAATTAACGAATTAGACTCAACTTCTTCGTCAGCTGTCAGCTGGCTCTATGCGGTGCGCAAAATGAAGATAAATGAAATGAAAATTGTGCTGACAGCACACGAAAATGACGAGCAAAAGCCGCTAGACAGCCAGCCAGCCCTCCCAGCCTCCAGCCACGCCTCTTGGCATGGGTCGTACGCCCTTTATTCGCCTAAATTCCCAAGCGCTAACAGGACCAAGTGTCAAAAATAAGGCTGTCATTGTGGCTGCACTGCATGTGTGTGTGCCTGTGTGTGTGTGTGTGTGTGTGTGTGTGTGTGTTGTCTATGTGTTTGTGTGTTTGTGTGTGTGTGTCTGTTATGTCTAGTAACAAAGATAGATTGCACTTTTTAAAAGCATAAATGGTTAGCATTTTGCTACATGACCTCACACAATACCAGCAACAACAACAACAACAACAGCACACATACACACACACACACACATATATATACACATACACATACAACAGCACACACAACCTGTGTTCTGTGTCTTTGTCGTTGTCAACTGGACATTAGCAAACATCGCTTGTCAAATCCAACACTTAAATCGAATCAACATTTTAGGCCAGGAAAAAAAAGAAGAAGAAGAAGAAGAAGAAGCAGACGAAAAATTCAAATGTAAACAAAGCCAATCAAATTTAACTTGCAATCAAATAATTGACTCACAGAACAATATAATTGCATAAATGGCATTAAAATAAAATCAAATTGCTGTAGAATACAAATACACATACACAAACACACATATCAATATATGTGCATGTGTATGTGTATGTGTGAGTGTGTGTGAGTAAAAGTAAATTGTGCATTGTGCAGCTAAATGTCAAACAATTCAATGAGATTTATTCAAAAATATCAAATGATGCCCCCGAGGCTCAAATGGAGCCAGCCAAGCGGCAAACACTGTACAACAAAATTGCGCATTCAATTTGGCTGCGACAACAATCGCAAATGCGTCGACTCATTTCAGCTTATACAAAATAATAACAATCAAATTATTCATATATATGCAAGGACTAAGTATTTATTTATTGCAAAATGGATTCCAAGAATCCCACAGTTCCATTCACAATTGTGGCAAGGAGCAGCCATCCGATCACAATTGCAAATGCTATCATTATAAAGTATTTCTATTGAAATTTAGTTGACTTTCCCAGACTTTTTGTTGGGGAAATACCTTGAGTTTGTATAGAGGACAACTCCATCTACATTTCCTTCTTTTTTTTTTTAAGAGAGAGTTTTTAGTCTTGAAATATATTTATGGACTCTTTTAAAGAGGGAATATGAAAAGGTTTTTTTTTTTTGAGTTTTAACTAGAAACAATTTTTGTAAATATTAAAAAAACAAATTTGGCAAAAATATTAAATATTTTCAGAAACTGTTTTTACCAAAATATTTTACGAAGTTTTTGAGTTCTAACTGGAAATTATTTTCGCAACCAAGAAATACAATTGGAATCATAAATCCAGTCAGGATTGCGATAAGTATGTAAAGCGTAGATTTTAATATCAATACGTAATACAATTTTTGTATTGCTTAGACAAAATCCAAAGAGTAAATAGGGCAAAAATGTTAGATATTCCAGAAACTGGTTTTATAATAATATTTAAGGAAGTTTTAGACTGCCAACTGGAAACAATTTTCGCATTGGTTGGACGTATACAAGGAATATCATTGGAGTCCTAAGTTCAGTCAGGATTCCAGTAAGAGTTTGAAGCGAACTGGAACCGAATTAGCCAAACTGAAAGTTTATCTGCTTTAGTCAGACAACATGAATCACATTCTCGATTCACTACAAAATTATTGCAAATATTTTCGCCTTGCTGCTCCAACTAGACTATTTCTCCACTTACATATACACACACATATATATTATGTAGATATATTTCAATAAGTGCTTTCAGCAGTTGGCATTGCTGCAGCAAAACGGAATTTCATCTCAGCTCATCTTGAGGATCTTGGACTGAGCCCATAAATTCACTCGAGTAGCTGCCGCCTCGATGTGTGTTCGTAGTAAATAAATGCTGAGAGAGCTGAGTGAGAGGCCTCAGCGTGCAGGAGGGGGAGCAGGAGGAGGCAACTAAGAGGATTGTTATTATTGAATGCTGCATTATTGAAGCATTTCGCCGCTTCAATTGATTAAATAATTCAATTCAATTCCAAACATAAAAAAAAAAAAATAATAATAATAATAATAATAAAAAAAAAAAACAGCAACAACCGAAATGAGAAACTAATTCAAGCAGATGGCGGAGCACTTGTGTTCGCATTTTGCAAATGCAATTAATAAAATCGAATTAAATGAGCGCAAAATGGCGGACAATAAATGCAAATTAAATTCCAATTTAATTTTTAAGCACAAATTAAAAATTAAAAAAAAGCGATATAAAATACGAAATTGAAATTAAATTAAAATTAGGCATAAAATAAATGGGAGAAGATAGAGAGTGGGGAAGGGGAGGGGCAGGAAGAGAGAGAGAGACGAGCGTGTAATTATGCCAATTTACACTGAGAGAAAATTGAGGGTAATTGTTTAAATACATATGCAGGGCTGGTATGATGTCAAATAACAGACACACACACATATATATATATATATATACACACACACACACACAAGTTTTGCATTAGAAGCACATTTGTGCATATCTAAAATGTTCGATTCAAAGATAGAAACAGCATAAGAGCGAGCGAGCAAGAGGGTATATGACAGAGATAGAAAGTCAGAGAGAGAGAGAGAGAGAGAGAGATCTATGATTATATATACATACATCTATAAATCTATATAGATTTGCATAGATGACATAGCTATAGAATATATAGAAGCTACAGCTAAAGCTAGACATTGATAGGCAAATATGGTATGAAATGAGTGGGAAAAGCAACTCAACGCAACGTAACGGAATGGAACACAAGAATACAATACGAACGCAAACAGAATGGAATGAAACGCAACTCAAACGAAACGGTAAAGAAACAGTGAACAACAAACTACTGAGGTGTGTTCGAAACAAACAAAAGAGAGAGAGAGAGAGAGAAAGACAGATATATAACTATTTGTATATAGAGAGAGAGATATATAGATATAGATAGAGATAGAGATAGAGATAGAGAGAGAGAGAGAGTAACTAATTATACAAGTACAAGTAGCTATATATACAATATACATATATATACACATATCGATAGAAAGAGATAGAGAGAGAGAGACACAGTGATAGATAGATAAATAGTTAGTTAGAGCGTGAATTAGACTACATACTACGACACTCATAGCGAGCGATACCTGTTCCGGTGCCAGCTACGTTTGCGTTGCGTCCATTGTAGCGATAATTGTTATTGATGGCATTCGTTTTGTATGCAGCGCCGCCGCCGCCGCCGACGACGCCGACGCCAACGCCGCCGCCACTGCCGCCATCGCTTAATCCCAAGCCGCTCATGTTCATATTCATGTTCATGCCTACGCCCACGCCCACTCCCACGCCCATGCTCATATTCATACCCATACCCATGCCCATGCCCATGCCCATGCCCATGCCCATGTTGCCGCCAGCGGCAGCAGCAGTAGCAGCAGCAGCTGTTGCTGCTCCGCCATTGCGCAAGTTGTTGCGCAAATTGTTGCTGTTGTTGCTGTTGTTGCTGCTGTTGCTGATGTTGTTGTTGATATTGCTGCCAATGCTGTTGCCATTGCCGTTGATATTGCCGTTGCCATTGCCATTGCCATTGCCATTGCCGCTGGCATGCCCATTGAGCAGCGCTCCACCAACACCAACAGCATGGTGATGCTCCACAGCGGCCAGGCCATTCTGCTGCTGCTGTTGCTGTTGCTGCTGTTGCTGTTGCTGCTGTTGCTGCTGCTCCCCATTCAGCTGCATGCCACGCATATAGGCATGCGGATGCGCATGATAGCCACCGCCCACAGTGGTGCCATTCTCCACCTGGCCGCCATAGTGGTTGTGCTTGCCATTAAGCAGTTGCTGCTGCTGTTGCTGCTGCTGTTGCTGCTGTTGCTGTTGCTGCTGCTGTTGCTGGTGGCCATTGATCAGCGCATAGTGCGGCTGATGGGCATGGAAATGTTGCTGCTGCTTGTGCAGCTGCTGACGATGTTGCAATGTTGCTGCGACCGGCACCTGCTGCTGGCTCTGCGAGGCCAGCGAGGACAGCGACGAGCTGGACGCTGGCTGCGACGTGGCCGTTGAGCTGGCTGAGGAGCTCGTCGAGTGTGTGCCGCCCAGCGGAGGAGGCGGTGATATATTGCCCAAGTGCTGCTGCTGCTGTTGCTGCTGCTGCTGCTGCTGCTGCTGATGTTGATAGTAGGCAGCGGTCATATGATGATGGCTGTGATTGTGTTGCTGATGTTGATAATAGTGTTGCTGCTGCTGCTGCTGCTGCTGCATTGAGACGTTGCTCACGTGATTCTGATGCGACTCTGGCAGAAATTGCGGATAGACGTGGTGCGACCATTGCGGGAACAAGGGACGCGCGCTGGCGGCTTCTATAGAGTTGTCGTTGGGTTGGCAGGGTTGGGTTGGCAGGGTTGTCAAACACATATATATATACACATGTATATATACATAAGCACACACACATATATAGAGAGACAGAGCAAAATGGGTTGCGTTGGATTGTTGGTAGGAGCATGGGAATATTTGTAGTTTTTTTTTTTTTTTTTTTTTTTTTTTTTTGTGACGTGGCGAGCATTTTGTTTTACGTTTAATTTGGTATTAGATTACAAAAGTATTTTTATTTTGTTTTTGTTTTTTTTTTTTGGTTTTTTTTGGTAGTTTATTTTTGTACAATAAATCCGAAAAAGCAGCGTGAAATGAAATTATTAGAAAACGGAACAATGAAAATAACCACATAAAGAACTGAATAATATCTCCAACAATGGGCTTGATGAGTGTACTTAAGGCTAATAATGATTAGGTGGTACGTCTTGAGAGTGGGACGGCTGGTGGGTCAAGTTGGTGTTGGGGGGCGGGTGTGCGCCATTTGTAAGATATATATTTACATACACACACACACACACTTGCAGGCACACACTCACACACACGCACACACGCACGCACGCACACGCTTATAGACTGCTTGCATTGGAATGATACTAACATGTGGTGGTGGTGGTGGTGGTGGTGTTAGTGGTGGCGGTGCTGGTGGTAGTGTGGTGGTGTTTGCCGTTAGTGGCGGTGGCTTGTGGTGCTCTTTAAAGATTGCTAGTGGTCTGTGGCAGTGATATAACTACTACCATTAACAGATGTAAAGACTCGACTCAACGAAATGGAAAAGCCAAAACTATAAACGAATAACGAATAACGAATAACGAAATGGAACGCAGAAATGAAACAAAAACTATGCAAATTTTATATGACAGAAGAGAGAGACAGTGAGAGAGATAGAGAGAGAGAGAGAGAGAGACAGAGAGAGTCGGAGAGAGAAATATTTATATATAGAGCTAGGCTAGAGAGCGAGAGAGTTAGAGAGAAAAGAGAACCAATAAACGATTGTGTAGCTTTGGTGCAGCAAACGTAAAGCGAAACGAAAACGAAACGAAACGAACTGAAATGAAACGAAACGAAATAGAGACGCAGACAGAGCCAAAGACAAAGACAAAGACAAGCGACAAACGCAACTTAAGAAATGCAAATAAAACGCATGAGAAATGCGAAACGAATCGAACACAAAATTTGAAAATTTGAAAATCAAACTCGAAACTGAAACTGAAACTGGAGAAACCCTCCCGGGGATAAGAATAGACGAGTATATCATATCATTGAGAGACTTAAACGAATTGCAAGTCGTGGCAAATGCCGTTAGGTACGAGAGTGTTTTCGTATTATTCATGGATCTAGATCGAGAGCTCTTAACGTTTAACACTTACCGCTGCCCGCGGTGCGCTGCAGCACCGGGGATTGACGTTGAATCTGAGGCTCTGCGGGTGGTTCCAAAATGTCCCGATATTTGGATACCATCAGCACCGAAATGAAATAAACGATGGCCAGCGATAGGAATTGCGCTTGTTTCGTTTCCTCCTGTGGGCGAGAGGTATGGAAGAAAGAGAGAGAACGGATTATGTATGAGGTAGGGGCTATACAAGTGGAAATGAGACAAAACGGAATGTCAAATGAAACACTAGGTAACGTAAATTACAGCCGAGTGGCGTGCGGTGGATGGCGTGCAGTGGAACGATTGGAATTGGCACTTACCACATCGCGATAGATGACGGCCCTTAGGCGATTGACGTCCATGTCCTGGAGCAACTTCTCAGGATCCTTGACGGGGGATAATTGACCGGTGATTGACTCCACAATGTTCTGCAAGTATTGCAAAAGGAATACACGGAAAAGAGTGTTGTAAAGTGCTGTAGTGCTCCAAGTGAGACGGTGCTCAGCTTACCTTGGGCGATGCCTGCGCGCCGCGTATGAGCGCCTGCAGATGCGCTGCGCCGGGCACATCGCGCGCCAGGGCGCCCACGTTGTAGCGCGTGCGCTCCTTGCACTCGAGGCAGTTGCGCACGGCGCAGGTGCAGACGAGGCGCAGGCACTGGCGCAGGATGCCGCCGCTGGACATGTTCTTCTCGGCCTCCAGCTCGCCGAAGTTCAGCGAGGTGGCAAAGATGAGGACGTCGGCCATGTTGACTAGGCGCTGCAGGAAGGACACGGCCACCTCCAGTGGCATGCCCTGTGTGGGCTCCAGCACATCCAGTTCGGACTGAAAGAGTGCCAGGGGTTAGCTGGAAGATGTGTGGGGTGTGGGGGACTGCGGCACTTACATTGGGCGATGTGGCGCTGGCGAGCAGCGGCAGGAGTCCGCCGCAGGCAATGATCAGGTTATCAGCCAGCTGGGAGATCAGATGCACCGTGTTGACCACAAAGATGGCGTTCTCGCTCGAGTTGACAAAGTCGAGGACGCTCTTGGTGGAGTGACTGCGCCACACCTGGATGTCGGTCTCCAGGGAGAAGAGCACATCGCTCAGCAGGCGCTGGTGTATGTAGGACCATTTGAACTCCGGTATGCGGAACGGCGGACGGGTCGGTCCCGGACTGAACATGGGCCTAGTCGAGCCGGACTTGGACCGTTGCTGTTTGCCCCCCTCCACGCCGGCTGTGCCGCCAGCAGCTGCAACATGCGAAATACATTCGATCTGCTCTCCCCGGAGCATTGAGCTACCCCTCAACTTACCATAATGATTGCCCTCCATCTGAGCGGCGCCTTCTGCACTGACAGCGGACGGGGCTGCTGCCGGCTGCGACTGCGACTGCGACTGCTGTACGGCGTAGTCGTCGTCGTCGGCGTTGGTTGTGTCCTGGGCATCGTCCTCGATATCGGCCTCGGCTTCCGCATCCGCATCCGCATCCGCATCGGCATCGACGTCGGCATCCGCATCGGCTTCGGCTTCGGGCAGCTCGTCGAGGCCCTTGTGTGTATCCGCCTCGATCTTTGGCGTTGTTTGCGTCGTGGAGTCCACCTCGTTGGGCTTCGAGCGCAACGCAATCGGTGCCGACTCCTCGGACTTGGCCAGCGGCTCGATGTGCGCCGGCTGCTCTTCGGGGGTTGGTGAGGTCTGTGTGGTCTGCTCGGAGGCCACGGTCTTGACGGTCTCATCCACTAGCGTGTCCAGCACTGCATTGACAATGGCCGGCACTTCATCCTCGACGGATTCCTGGGGCTGAGCTTGTGCCTCGGCCAGATCCAGCGCCGTTTCGACCACCTCATGAACTATTTCCTCAGCGGCGGCGGCGGCTAAGCTTGCCTGCTCCTCTTCCACATCCTTCTCTGTCTCTGTTGCTGGCGCTGTTTCTGTCTCTGTCGCTCTCTCTGTCTCTTTCCCTGTCGCGGGCTCGGGCTTGGGCTCGGCTTCTGCGGCTGTCTGCTTTGTGGTTTCCTTCTGCACCTCATTGTTGTTGGTTTCAGTTTCAGTTACGGTCTCGCTCTCGGTCTGGGTCTGGGTTTTGGTTTCGCTTTCGATATCGGGCGCTGTCGCGGTTTCAGCTGTGGCTGAAGCTGCGGCTGCGGCTGCGGCTTTCGTTTCCGCCTCGGCTGCATCGATTACCTTGTCGATGAGCTGCTCAACAATGTCGCGCACCGCTGTGGCCACCACATCCTCCGTCGTGTCAGCCAGCTCGGGCTCTGCGGTCACCAGACCCGCCTTTGCCGTCGACTCCGTTAGCTCCTCGCTGCTCAGCATTGAGCTCAGCTCCTGCTCGACACTGGCTGCTGGCATTTGGCTGGAGCTGGACCTAGAGCTGGCGCTGGCGCTGGCACTGGAGCTGGAGCTGGGGCTGGAGCTGTTGCTGAGCTCCAGTTTCTCGTTGTTGTTCAGCTTGTTGGCCGCATCTTCAGTCTTTTGATTGGTGGTTGCTGCTGTGTTCGACGACTCCTGCTCCTGCTCCTGCTCCTGCTCGGAGCCCTCTGGGCCGTCTCTCTTCTCCAGCTGCGCTGTTGTGGCTGTTGTTGACTTGTCGCTGTTTATTTCATTAGCATTCACCTCGGCTTCTGTCGCTGTGGTCTCCGTCTCCTTCTCCTTCTGCTGCTGCTGCTGCTGCTGCTGCAGCTCCTCTGGCTCGCTGGTGCTGTTATTGTTGTTGTTGTTGTTCAGCAGATTCTTGCTGTTGAGCAGACTCACATTGTCCTGTGCCGGCATCTTCTTCTCGCTCTTGAGCACACCCTGCACCACCTCGTTGACAGCCAGCTCGATCTCCTCGTCCTTTAGCACCGACGAGGACTCCTGCAGCACATCGTCTACGACCATTTTGCAGTCATTCAATGCTGCCTCCGACACCTGCAGCACCTGGGCCACATGCCGGTCCACATCGAGCGCATCCTTGGCCGTCGCCAGCTCCAGTTCCTCCAGATCTTCTTCTATCTGCAGCATCTTCTTGAGCGCCGCCTGGCCACCGACAGCTGCCTGCTGCCCGGCCTCCTGCTGCTTCTCCTCCGAGGGACTGGGACTCAGGCTGCCGTTGCACGTGGCCGCCGCCGGAGCGCTTTGCAGCGCCTCATCCGTTTTGATTTGCTCATTGTACACATCCGAAATGTTGGCAATCACCGATTTGTTGACCGGCTCCTGCTGCTCAGTCGCCTCCATGGAAGCCGCCTCGGCTGGCTGCCCGTTGGCTGCGCAGGCGCAGGAGTCGGCAGGCGTTGCGGCAGCTTCTTCGCTCAGCTGCAGCTCCTGCGCGTCGACCTCGACGCTGTCTAGCTCCAGCTCCTCGGCCTCCTCCTCGACGGGTGGCACATCCTCCAGCGAGGCCACAGACACGGCGCTCTTTATAGCCGGAAGCTGCTGTTGCTGCAACTGCTGCTGCTGCTGCTGCTGCTGCTGTTGCTGTTGCTGTTGCTGCTGTTGCTGAGGTGCAACTGGGCCGTTCTGCTGCTGCTGCAGCTCCTCGCGCTCCCAGCCGCTGATGGTGCTGATGGGGCGGGCTTGACGCAGGGCGGGATCGGTGATGTTGTCGGTGCGCTGTCGCTCGTAGTGCTCGTACATCTGGGCGAACTGCAGCTTGAACTCCTCATAGGAGACCTTCGAGTGGACGATGGCCAGGGTGTCCACCCAGACGCGCCAGCCGCCGTACTCATGCTTGATGGCATGGTGCAGCAGCATGCGGAACAGCGAGTAGACCATGTCGCTGATCTTCTGCTCCTCGGTGTTCTTCGGGTGGATGTAGGCCATGGCAATGAGCCACTCCTGCCAGACGGACATTTGGAGGACGGTGCGACGATTCTCCCGATTGCTATTGCACAGCAGCGTCATGTCCTGCAGAAAGAGCTTCTTCACCTCGATCAGGGACTCGGTCTGCTTCGACTGGCGAATCAGCGTGGCGACCACCTTCAGTATCACTGCGCGGCAATTCGTTGGGGTTTGGGGTTTGTGGGGAATGAGTGAGGTTAGGTCATTGTCTCTTTACGAGCTGAAATAGAGGCTTAGGCTAGGGAATAACTCACTTGGATTCTCCAGACGGTAATGGCCCTCTGGCTCCGGATGGCGCGTGTACAATATCTGCTGTGATATGTGCTCGGTCATAATTTCGAAGAGCACATTGTATGTGGGCAGCGACAACGACTCCTCGTACAGCAGCAGACGCTCCGCTAATAACGTGTACAAATTGTGCGGCGACATGACATCGTACTTACGTCTACACCAGCGCGGGTTGAACACGATTTTAGAAGGGGAATAGAAAGCAGACACATGCAAAATTTATGAGCATGTGCATTACACGGCAGTTTGTCAAAGCGGAGAGGAACGGAATGAGAAGCAGAACGAGTACAAGCACGAGAGCGAAGCCCATGCGCCTCTACTCGCCTCTACGCGCCTCTACGCGCCCGAAGGCCCATTACTCAGGGCTAGGCTCAGCTTCCATTTCCATTCTCATTCCCATTCCCATTCCCATTCCCATTTCCATTACCCGTTAACCACAATTACCCCAGCCATTGTGCTACTTACTTGTGTGTGCTGCGCGAGAGGAAGAAGCCGAGCAGCTTCAGCGCCTGGAGGCGTATCAATTGACTTTCGGCCGCCAACAGCTTGAAGATGCTGCGCACGCCGTGCTTTACATCGAATGCAGGTACCATTGAGCTGGGGTGCTCCGACATCAACGAGATGAGCATCTGCAGTACATCGTGCAGATTCTCGTCCTGCGTAAGGGCAGAGGTAAGAACAAACAAGGGAGTTAGCTACCCGTTGAGGTTCTTTGGCTAACAGGGGTCTCTAGCTAGAACCCCAGCTAGAGCCAGGCAGTTGTCCCCTCTATAAAAGACTTCCCCAACGTCTTCACATCTTTGACTTGGGTGCACTCACCTCATGCATGGTGGTCAGATAGTTGAGTATGCTTTGCAATTCATCCTCCTTGACGCCATTGCCGATCATAATGAGCTGCTTGAGGAACAGCAGGATGTAGGCGCGTATGGCCAGGATGTCCTTCTGAGCCGGTCGCGGGCCATCTGCAATGGTTGAAATGATTTCCTCCATCAAAATCCCAATTTCCCCCAATTGCCGCTCCATCGTGAGACTCACCCAAACCCTTTGGTATGATGCCGCTCTTGGCACGCGGATTGACAACCCAATAGTAATACTTGAGTGTGTGAACTGTCTGGAGAACGGTGCTGACGCGCCGCACATTGCTGTAGATCTGAGTGTCGCTGAGGAACTCGGTGGCCAGGTACGAGTAGAGGCGTGCCTGTACATTGGCCGGCGTGTAGATCCACAGGGCTGGATTGAACAGCACGTGGTCGAGCAGCTGCCACGTGAGAAACGAGAAACAGAACAACTGCGACAAATTAGTCAAGTAACTTATGCTGTCCTCAGTTACGGTAGACTCAACGAAATTGCAAGAGATTGAAGATGTGGTGTGAGTGTGTGAGGGTGTATGAGAGAGTGTACAATCGATGGTAAGTTAGTTAGGTTGATTAAATAGTTGGATTAGTTTAATAAAAAGAGAGATAGATATAATTGATAGAGAGTGAGATAGAAAGAGGTAGAGTAGCACAAGAGCAAATGAGGTTTTTATTTTTTTATTATTTTTTTTTTATACATACGTTTACATGAGTTTCATGTTGATTGTTGTTGTTGTCGATTGATTTGGATAGGGTTGTTGTATGTATATTTAAATACATATTTTTTTTTTTTTTTTGTACATATATATGTTTGGAGGTTTGGTAGTAGTAGTAGTAGGATTCGATATATAGATACATATATATATTGAATAACGTTTACACATGCAGCAAACAGCAATCAAATTTGTCATAAAACATAAAACGAGAAATGAACAAACAAAGTAAGGAACAGTTAATATTTTGAATGGCATTCCAAAAGAACAAGAACGAGAACAAGAACTAAACTAAGCTTAGATCTAATTACGCTAGAGATTCAAAGTATTTATTTATATATAAATGATCTTATGCTTATGGTACTTTGGCTAGGCTAAATTTAATATTTAATAAATATTTGACTATAAATGTTTATTTGATTAACTAGAAATACATAAAATTAGATACGATGTACTGTGTATGTCAATGAGCGGAGTTTTGGGCTGAGAGAATCGCTCTCTTCTTCTTCTGAGCTCTGTAAAAACAATGATGAAAACAATGATGATTTATGCCAGAAAACGAAATCCTTCAATTCGCTGGCTTTCAACTGCGACTGTCCTGAACAGAAAACGTTTCCATTACTATCGACTTATAATGCAGTTTATATATGCACTCAGCCATTTTCATATGATTTCCATTAAACATGTGCTTGGGCCAGCCAACAGATAGTTAAATTATAAATTTCTATAGCGCCTAATTGAATTTATTTAAATCGTTTCAAATTGAAAAAGTTGCAATTGCAATGAATTGCAATTGTTTTAATATTCGACATCTGCGCCAACTTTTGGGAAACATTGGCCGAAATTTTAATTGTCAAAAATACAGACAAACACACAAATAAATGTACAGTGTACACATTTATGTATATATGTATGTGTACATAGATGTATAAACGGATGTGTGTAGATGCATGGGATATGTTCACACATGACTTGGCTTATGAGGGCCAGCAGCACTTCAATTCAATTCGGACCACTCTCCATGAAGTGTTCAAACTTTTTGGCGTGGCTCCGCTGCTCCCGTCGCCTCGCCTCGCGTCGCGTCGGTTGGCTTCGCCCGTTGCCAATGCCAATGGCTGCACAGCAAGCATAACAATGCAACACCCAGTGTGGTTCCGATCACGTAGCTCACGCCCGGCGCTGGTCCGCCCCCAAAAGGAGGCAGCCGACTACCGACAGAAGTTTCCCAATTAAAAACTGTGCACGAGTGTGAAATAATAAGGAAGCTGAGCACGAGGGCGAGCCGAGAGCTGGCAAAAGCCCCAAAACAACAGATTCAGCAATATGCAAAAAACATTTCGTGGCAAAGAGAGCGAGAAGTGGAAATGCCGAAAAAGGAAACTTTAGTTGCGCCTGGCGAATTTATGCAGATTTTAACCGAATATATTGTATATACACAAATGCAAACACACACACACATTTATATATGAATATATATATGCTGATGAGTTGCGTTGCGCGTTGCACAAATGAGCTTAAGTTGAACAAAGGTGTTAAGTCAACCGCCAATTAAACAAATTATAAAACAACCAACGTGAGAAAACATGAATGGAACATGAAATTGAATACGAATGCGGCGAACATATAAAACGCATTTGCGAGAGTTAAGACTAATGGGTAAACAATGTGGAATGAAAAACATAGCAACTGCTCTGGCAGTAGTAACTTTAAGCGAGTGCTGAGCGACTGTGGAACGATTTGGAATGAAACATCGATAATGAGTGTGTAAACTAGATGATGAATACAAAATATTAGAGCTATACAAATGATGTCTGTCAATGTAATGATATGGAACGATGTGGAATGAAACATCCAGAATGAGTCTGCCAACTATATGAATCAAATATATTAAAAGTATGAGACAATCAATCAATGAGTCTGAATGATATTACAATAAAATGGAACGATATGGAATGGAACATTAAGAATGAGTAAGTCCAACTAAATTATAAATACTATGTCGGCTGTAAGATTGATATATATCCAACAATGATATCTATTGATAAGATTACATTGAAGTGGAACAATGTGAAATGAAACAGCATGTCTAAAGCAACTACATATATACTTTGATATACGCCAAATGGCATTTACCTAAAATGCTTGAAGAGCTACCGACAATAAATATTTACATATATATCTTACAATAAAGTGGAACATTTTGAAATGAAACATCCATTGAGTCAACTGTACAAGGTTTGAAATTGAACAATTTAGTATAAAAGAACGTCGGGAAACATAAACGAAACAAACGCACACATACACACACATACACGCGCGCATACAGTTACGGAACAAAACGGAATGAAACGGAACGTAACGAAAAGGAACATTTATATAGTGTATACAATACGATAGTTCAGTAAAAGAAATTTGAGAATTGAGCTTCACCTGGTAGAACTGTTGTAGAGATTTGATATTGGTTTAAAGTTCAGTTGTTGTTGTTATTATTGTTATAGTTGTAGTTGTAGTAGTAGTAGTAGTTGTTGTTGTTGTTGTTTATTTGTGTGTTGATTGATAAGAAGCGTTTCAGATGCAACAATTTTGATCGATTGATTGATTGATTCGGATTGTCGCGAGGAACAGCATTAAAACAATACGAAGCATAAGTAAAATGAGCGAGTTTATTCGATGAGCGGGGGGAGAGAGCGGGCGCGGGTTGTGTACGTGAGTCAAAAATTCGTGTGCGGGAGAAAGAAATAGATAAATAGATAGAGAGAGAGAGAGAGAGAGAGGAGAGAGTGTGTGTGTGATAAAAAATATAGAACAGGAACGTATAACAAGTTAGAGTGGGAGAGAAATAGAGAGAGATATATAAATATTGTGAGAGAGCAGACAAAGTAGAAGAATTTAGTTTTAGTCGTAAATACATTTATGTCAAAAGCTTCTTCAATTTCTGTATTCTTTTTGTACTTTTGAGCTCTATATAGTTGGGCGAATCAGCTGGGTATAAAGCACATTTAAATTTCGATTAATCTTGGCTGGACTATCAAAAAGCATTAGCTCTTCGATTAACAGGTGCAGACATGACAAACATTTGGTGCATAAGCAGCGCAACAAAAGCGAACAAAATTTCTAATTGCTGGCCAATTGAAAGCAAAAAGTAAGCGAATTAGGCGCGTGTACAGTGCTATACAAAAAGCATGCAACAGTGAAACAAAATAAAGAAGGAAAAACGTGTATAGAAAAGCTTCGACTAAACCGAAGTCGTTGGGGTAGGAGATTGGATTGTGTCTCATATATTCCTCTTAAAGTTCATTTAAATATTTTCTTAATGAATTCTCTATCATTCATGCTTTCAAGCCATCCCTAACAATTTGGCTTTCCTTTACCATCTACGCTTTAAATCATTGAGATATATTTTTTTTGTTCTTGCTCTGGGTCTGTCGTCTCTTACGGAGTTAAGTCATTATTCCTAATTCTAGTTCAGATCATCTCACTTATCATTTTAGACATAAGCCAGCTTTAATTGCTCATTTTCGTTTTCCTACCAGCATTTGGAGTCTAAACTTGAGGCCTATACGAATATACGAATCACTATAAGATTAGCTAAGTTTGGGTATTCATTAAAGTATTTAGCGTATTTTCGTTAGTTTTCTTTCGCATCTAAACGAAATCCTATTTCCGATTCACCATCATGTGAATTACGAGCTTAGCCAAGAAACGGACTAGCGAAAGGGGAAACACATTCGAGTTGTTTTCAAGGCAGTTGCTATGCCATTTCTGGGTTTATGTTGTGCTAGGCAAATAAAGAGGCGAAGCGTTAATAAAAAAGGATAAGCACAAGCTGGATACATGTTGGATATATAAGTAAGTAAATGTACATATATACACACACACACATATACATATACATATGTAGCGGATATATGGCTGGGGATTAGTGCTAGAAGCGCGGGAGCTGCGGGAGTGTGACCAAAGCAGCTACAACGAACGAATAGCGGGCGGTGGGTGGCGGGTGGCGGGTTAAGGAGGGTGGCGGATAATGGGTAGCGGGTAACGAAAACAAGAACTTAATGCTGCAAAATTGTGTTGTATTTGATATGCTACGTTTTGTGTTTACTTTTTTGAAAGGATTACGCAGGCCCGTGTTCAACTGTGCGCCGGAGCAGCCGGAGCAGCCGTAACAGCAGAAGCAGCAGGCGCCAACATCAACACCAAAACAAAGAACACAAGAGCAACAGAAAGGCAAGACACGCATACACACACACGCAGTGCGATAGGCCAGACAAAGTAAAAGAAGAGAGATTAAGAGAGAGAGAGAGATAAAGAGAGAGAGAGAGATAAAGAGAGAGAGAGAGAGAGAGAGAGATAGTGAGACAGAGTGAATGAGAGAGCAGATGAGTCGCGAGTGGGTTTCGCATATCATTTGAAATTTGTTTGTCAAGGTGTTCAACATGCCACACAGACACACTCAAGAGCATTCGTTTCACTTCTTCTGCTTCTTCTCCATGAATGCGAAACATGAAAGTGGGACGTTGATAGCTTTATAATAAAAATTGCAAATCTGATCGAGCTGTAACTGAAAACTTATCAAAACTGATCGAACGTAAAAAACTTACAGCGCGAGGCATTTGTCATGCAGTCGTCATAGCGCGTCAACTTAAATCGAACTTAGGAACAGACATATATACATATGTATATATACATATACATATAATACATATACATAAATACTAAACGATAGAGACATAGCTAAAACGTAAATACAGAATAGTAACAATTAATAAGCATGCTTGCCAAGTCACAGCGGCCCTCAAGGTTCAATCGCATGCTATCGATGAATATCGGGTATCGATTAATCATTGTTAAATGCCTATCGATGCTAAAGCGCGCATTTCATTTGCCGATAATGCATCGTACACTGAATGTATTTGTATGCATCATCGTGTTTCGATTTACGTTCATTGTTAACATAGAGCGGCATATTTTGTATATCTAGTAGAGTCGTAGGGGCAAACAAATTCGTTTTGGGCCTTGCGCCCACTCACCTGCTTGAGCAGCAGATCGCTGTTGGCCGACAGGCACGTGACCAGGTACTTGGTCAGGTTGAGAAACGAGCCCAGTACCTCCAGTGTCAGATGTTCGCGCGACGATCGCTGCAGCATAAAGGATATCACGAGGAAGCCTCGATTCTGTATCATGTGCTGTTGCACAGTCTGCGATGTCTCCACCAGTTCGCAGATGAAGCCCAAGAGCTTTGAACTGTGAAGCGAGAAAGTAATATGAAATTAAAATTGATTGCATGTCGGATTGGAACACGTGAGAATGGAACAGAAACGAGTGGAATTGAAACAGTAAGCATTACAGAACGTATATTGCTAGTAGAACAAAAAAAAAAACATTACAAAGGAAATTATAGCTATGCGTATATCTTAAAGGAACAAGTGGAAATAGAACGCTAAACATTCTAAGCGAGTATTGATTTACGGGCAATGGTCTTAGGGATCATGAAATTTAAGTATGAAATACATAATGCAGAAACAGAGTGGAACGAATGAGAATGAAACGCATTTCATATTGCAATTTAAAGTAATGACAAAATAAAATCAAATTAATTTGAATGGAATGAAGCATGACAAAGTATGAAACGATTGAGAATGAAGTAATAAATCAATACGTGAAACGAATGAGACTAAAACGAAACAGAAGTTAGCAAACCGAATGAGAATGAAATATAGTTGTTATCAAAACCACTGCATTTACACTGAAATCGTTTACAGACCAAGAAACAAGTGAGATTGGAACATAACCTACCAGAGCGTCGGATCTCGCTTGATATCGCTTATGCCCTCGTGCGCCATGTCCAGCTGAGAGAAGAGCGGAAACAGCACCTGAATGCCGCCAATCGAGTTGAGTGTGCAGTGGATGGAATGCGTGACGACCGCCTTGACGTCCTGTTTGAAATGAAACCAAAACGAGATGAAAATCAATGTTATGATTCAAGAGATATTCTCAATGCTCGAGCTCTGCCACATCAGCGACTCTAGACTAGACTCCAGATATTATAGATATTCCGCTGAAGTGTGTTTGGTCGTTCGATTTCCCACTGAAATGACTAATCTTATGGCGATTGCTTGGACGGAAATTGGATTGTCTATTGATAAACCATTTTTCAGCTGGCAATTTGCGTAAAGTTCGGGGCATAAATTTGCGCTTCTTTCAGTGTTTATCGATTAAATTGGTTTTTGTGCGCCCCAGCACCACTGTGCGCCCTCTGAGGATTCTCCGGCTGCTGTGGCGAGGCATGGGCTCGCTATGGGCATGTCTTGGGGTCATTTCGATGGCATTTTCGTCGCGTTGTCGTTGTTGTGGTTGGTCTTTTATGATTTGTGTTGTTTGTACAAGAAATTACTACAAAATTTATTGAATAATTTTGTTGCCAGCTACAAGCACAACGGACTACAGTGGGGTGGCCGCAGCCGTGCCAGCCAGCTGTTAAGCATGATAAGGCCCGAACGGAACGGAATGGAGCGGAGCGGAATGGAAACCTACAGAGGGAGGCGGACAAAGATTGTACCTAATAAGAAATGCCAAAGCATGCGCTTGAGTCGTAAAATGCTGCCTGAAATTTATGTGGTGCCTGCTCTCAGTATGTATGAGTGTGTTCTGTGTGTGTGTGTGTGTGTTAGTCTTTGGCCTTGGTATGCAGCAGTGTGTCTTCGAGCTTTGGAATGGAATGAACTAAGGCGAAGTGAACTAGCTACGGCTATGTACATTTACGTATACGAAATAAGTTGGGGGACTTACTCGTATATTCCTGCCGTTTACACAGGCCCAGCTCAAGGGGATTGTGTGGCATGGCCAGAGCATATATAGAGAGTGTGACTCTCTCTGTGTCTGTGTGTGTGTGTGTGTTTACTTACCTGCAGCATCAGCGCGTGCGGTGTGTGTACAAAATATGAAACATTTCCTTTGGGGGAAGACTGCAAACAAAGTTGACCATCGGTTGCCACCGGATTGTACATGAAGACAATGGCATTCGATAGTTTGCCATCGTACAGCACCTGCAGTGTGAAAGAGATAAACAGAGAGAGAGAGAGAGAGAGAGAGAGAGAGTAGATTGTTGGCATTAGTTAGGCACTGCTTTCAACAAGTCATTCGTAGAGCTCGGCTCCTCTGAGGCTCTGAACCCGGCAAATTATTTCCGGTCATGCTGACAATTTACTTTTGCTTTTGGCCTTTGCTTGAAGCGAGGAGCGAACAGCACAAATAGTTCTATATATCTATATATATATATATATAGTAGGTATATATACAAGTAATATAAAGTACTCTTATATACTACAGCTTACACATAATGTACAAAATATCTATAGACACACACATATACACAGAGGTGTGCATGTATGTGTGTATATAGCAGACGAAACACACACTAAAATATTGCTCTTGTTACACATTAGCCGTGGCTGGTCTGCGTTGGCATTTGGCTCTTACTGTTCTCTTGTTGTTGTTCTTGTTGTTGTAGTTATTTTATACACTTTTTTCTTATATATATATATATATATTACTTTTTTCAAATTTATTTTCGCTGGTTTTTAGTGCAACTTTTTTTGTTGTTTAGCTGGCGCCGTCATATGAGGCGTATGCGTAATATTCTTGCAGCGGCTGCTGTAGCGTTTTAACAGCGTGAGGTGTGTGTGTGTGTGTGTGAATGTTTTAAATATACCTATATAAGCAAACAGGTACATGTGTGTGTGTGTGTGTATGTGTGTGTGTGTGGGTGGGCGTGTAAGCTGTGCGTGTGAATTCGCTGGCTGCATAATTTGCTGCTAAAAATACTTCTTTGCGTTGACATACAAAAGAAACAAAAATGAGCGAACAAGAGAATGAAAAAACAAAGAAAACTATGAAAAATGTAAGCAAGAAATGCCATACAAAATATCCTCTACATATATATATTTTTTTCTATACTTATATTGAAAAGTTTTTGGTTTATAAAATTGACGCTGAGCCAAGCGCTGGCTCGCTCGCTCGAAGTGCAATTTATGTGGCTCAAATTGAATTGTTTCAGTTCAAATTGCCGGAAAAATATGTTGGAGAAAAATAACTGTGAATGAAAATCGCAGAATTTCACGAGGCTGGCCTTGGCTGTGGTCGGTGCGATTCAGAAGGTCATGGAACTCTTTTATAAACTATAGAAATAATGATACGGCAAATAATGATAGTGATAATAATCTAAATAAATGATAATAATTTATGAAAGAAAAAATTAAAATTATAAAGTTAAATTAAATTATTAAATAAATTATTTTTATAGATGACTGAGATAATTTGTTTTAGCTGAAGAGTATTTCGAGCAAGCTTAAAGGTTGTTTGGAAAATTCAGTATAAAAATGAATGTGAATGTGAATTCTTAAAAACATTTAAAGAAGTTCGCTTCAATTGATGGAAACTCAAAGCAGTCGCTGCAAAGTAAACTATGGAAATATTGGAATTTCGGTATTTTAGAAGGAAGAAAAAATCTAAGCCCAGAAGGTGAACGAAAAGAAATAAAAGAGATTAACTTAACCCCTCAAGACCTGTTCGATCGTGTCTTGACCTAAACAACTTCCACATATTAATGATGACGCAAGTCTTACAGATTTTTACTAAGCCCTACGATCCCCTTCTTCCCCTAAGATGTGCAATGTTAGCTTATCTAACTTTTTAGCTACTCATAAAAAAGGAAAGCAGTCAAGATGGGGGATAAAACTTTGGACTGAAACCGAATTAGTTTCGAAATCGAGCTCAGAGATGCCCAAAGAGGTTGGACTAACCTATTCCTAGTTCCCATTTAGGCTATTCCCATGAGTCTCACTCTGATCCTGCCTTCCTCATGCATCATTCGAGTCAAATTCTGCTTCTTCTGCAGCCTAACATTTCCTTCGCCCCAGCTGTTAACCCATTTCGCGCAGAATCTTTCTTAACCACTTGACCCATTTGGGTAGTTTTTGCTGTTTGCTACTTGCAGTTGGGTCCACGAATGACCCGGCTGAAGCAACAGCAACATGGAATAGCTTTCAAGACAAATGCACTTCATAGAGGCAAGCTTGCGCTATGCCATAGCCATAGCCATAATAAATAATAATAATCATAATCATAATCATAATCATAATCATAATAATAATAGTAGTGAAAGTGCGAGCCAAGTCAACTGAATGGAATCGGGCAAAGAAATTGCGAGGAAATGCAGCAGGAGCCAAGACGGAGTCAAGGAATAGCTTCTACCGTTCCATAGATTCCAAAACAAATGCTGCGAGCTGGCAACGCGGCGCCGAGGCGGTCTGGGGTGTGGGGTCTTCATATTATAATGGAAAACAACAACAAAAAGATTAACAAAAACGAAATAGGAACAAAAACCAGAGCAAGAAGTACGACTAGAAGAAATGCTTCCACATTTGCAGTTGTAGTTGCCGTCGCCGTTGCAGTTGCCGTTGCCGTTGCCGTTGCCGTTGCAGTTACCGTTCGCATTCCTCGTTCGCTTTGTCTTTGCTCTCGTGGCAGGTGCGCTGCGAAGTATGCAACATTTATTTGAAAGCCCTGCGCCGCGCATTGTTGCCAACGCAACTCCAGCGCCACGGTCCACGCCCACCACACCCGCCACGCCCAATGCGCTCAGCTCGTTCACTATGGGAACCGCCCTTAAAGGCGGCGGCGCACTTTAAAATTCTACACAAAATTACAAACATTTTCATAATTACGATTCGCTTCGGGGCTGGGGCAGGCCTTTTAGGACTTGAGCTGGGATTGGTGTTGGGATTGGGGCTGGGTGCTGGGTGCTGGGTGCTGGGGCTGGATGCCGGGGCTGTTTGCTTGCCACAGTTGAGAATTCAATAGAAGAGCGCAAGCTGCGCTTCAATGAATGGGAACATTTTGATTGGCTTTGAAGTTTAGTTTTTAGTCCAAGAGCTGCCGAGTGTGCGATTTGTGTGTGGGGGCTGCGGACTGCGGGCGTTCGAGGCCGTTTGCAGAGATTGTGAGGGCGGCTGGGAGTCGGCATCGGCTTGTATTCAAAACGATTCGATGCGATTTGATTCGATTTGATGCGATTGGCTTGCGGATTTGGCAACGTTCAGCGCTGGCGACGCTGCAAACTTTTTAATTGGCGTAACGCCCAACCCAACCCCAGCCCAGCTTAGCCCAGCGCAGACAGAGGCGTAGCTGGGGGCGACGACGATGGGGCCAGTGGGTGCACGGGTGCGCATGAGTTGGTTTGTAGAGGCACAAGCATTTGGCTAAGCTATCTGCCATCATCATGTGATGCAGCATTCAATTTAACACGAAAATTAAAAAAAAAGACCGAAAAAAAAAAAACAAAATAATTATAAGTTAATGAAAATAAACAGAAAACGAAAGTAAACAAGTATTCAATGATTCAATGATAGGTGAAAAAAAATATATATATGTATATAAAAAGATGTGAGATAATTAATAAAAATTTTAAAATAAGTAAAAGTGGTAAAAAAAAATTAAATAAAAAATAAAATATATATGAATATATATGAAATAAAATTAAATAATAATAAGTAATATAGAAAATAATTAAAGACTGACAATTATCTAAAATTAAATCTATATAAAAATATAAATATATATTGTATGATATTATTATTTTATAAAATTAATTTTTCATAAATAAATAAAAATAATATATAAATAAATGGTTTTTAAATGAATGCTTGTGTGATGTGAGATAATTAAAAATAATTTTAAAATAAGTAAAAGTGCTAAAAATAAATTAAATAAAAAATAAAATATATATGAATATATAATTAACAATAAAAATGAAATAAAATTAAATAATAATAAGTAATATTGAAAATAATTAAAGACTGACAATAATCTATAATTAAATCTATATAGAAAAATAAATATATATTGTATAATATTATCATTTAATAAAATTAATTTTTCATAAATAAATAAAAATAATATATTTATAAATATAAATGGTTTTTAAATGAATACTTGACTACTTGATGATATAAAATGTAAAAATATGCATTATAAATTATTTAAAAAAATAATAATTCAAAATAAAAATGTAAAAAATGTAACAAATATAATATATTAAATTAAAAATGTACAAATGTATTTGTATAGCTAAACTTAAATGAGAAATGCATTTCAAAGTAAAATGAAAATAAATAAAACTTGCTGATGATTGAAAAGAAATAAAATATTTGCTTACAGCTTTGAGCTGGTTGATCTCCTCAGTGTCGCCGGCGATGGCAGCGGCGCCGGCCACGCCCATGGAGCTCAGGCTGGTCAAGCTGGACATGCGACGCAGCTGGTCTGCCCCGCCCAGGTCAAGGGTGAAACGATAAACGTAAGCGGATACGGAAACGGAAACGGAAACGAAAACCGACAAACGATAAAACATAAGAATCGAAAATCGAGAGCCAATCGCACACATAAAAATCATAAATACCAAAAGAAGCATTTCCAGTGGGCAAATGGCCAAGCGGATCATCCGCACTGTGATTGTTGCTACTGTTGTTATTGTTGTTGCTGTTGTTGCTGTTGTTGCTGTTTGATTGTTGTTGCTGCTGTTCGGTGTTGCTGCTGCTGCCATCGTTGGGCGTGCCAGGGGCGTTTGCCGCTGCAGCTGCTGCGGCGGCAACAGCTGCCGTTGCCGTTGCTGTTGTTGTTGTTGCTGCTGCACCTGCAGCAGCACCTGCACCCGTTAGCGATGCCAAGGCAACTGCATTGCGTGCGGTGAGCACCGCTCGTATCTTGACAAAGGCCGCGCTCAGGTCGAGCCGCTCGTCGGACCAATCGATGGCGCTCGCCTCCTGCTCGGCGGCGAGCGTTTGGAATTGCAGCTGCAACAGTTGCTGCTGCTGTTGCTGCAGCTGTTGGGCGTTGTTGTTGCTGCCGCTGCCGCTGCTGCTGTTGTTATTGTTGCTGTTGCTGCTGCCACTGCTGCTCGCTGCGGCAGCATCGCCGCCCACCAGCAGCGCACCACCCAAACTGCTTGTTAGTTGAAAGTGACTCACCCGCTTGTGATTGTCCGGAAGATTCAGATAGCACTCGTTATCGAAGCGGAATTGCGACTGTGTGTGTGTGTGTGTGTATTGGTGTTGATGTGTGTGTGTGTGTATGACGGACACAAAATTGGTGCGGCACGAGAACAAGAGAGAAGGAGAGAAAGAGAAAGAGAGAGAGAGAGAGAGAGAGCGGGGACAAGTAAAATACAAAAGAAAAAGAAAAAAGAATTGGAAAAAAAATACATGTAATTATTGTTGTCGTAGAATTTTCTCACAATAAAGAGGACAAAGGTGCTGCTGTTGCTGCAGTGCTGTGGTTCAGTTGGCGGTGCAGCCACAGTGGTTACGGTGGTGTACAGTGCTACGCTTGAGCCCAGCGGCGGCCACTTACCTTATAGCCCGGCCCCAGGCGGTGCATGGCACAGATCTGCTGTGTGGTCAGCGCCTCGCTGAACAGATAAATCGCCGACATTTGGCCGCAGAAGACGCGCTCCTCGTCCAGCTCGGGCGTGGCGCCAATATAGCACTTGTCAAAGGGCTACACAGAGAGAGAGAGAGAGATAGAGGGAGGGAGTGAGTTTCGGCTGTTGTTGTTCACCTTCCTCGCCTCTACTTACATCGTTTGTGGAAACAAACCAGGCCATTTCAGTTGAAGACGCCAGTTGTCCATTTACGAGGCACTTGATTTCGCTTTTTGTCCAACGATTGTATATGTACACAATGGCAATCATATACCACTGAGAGAGCGAGAGAGAGCGAGAGAGAGAGAGAGAGATAGCAATAGTTTAAGAAAATGTTTGCTTAACAATATGCCATATAGAGTTGGTTTTCTATCTACTAAAACTTGGGGATCTGAAGGAAGTGTTCACACTCTACTCCTTGCTCGTTGGCTTTATTTAATGTACGCCATTTCTACAAACTGTCTATACATATATCAATCTATGTTTATATAATATACACCGTATATAATAAAATATGTGGAGACTAAATGATTCAATTTCGAGATCTAAATTAATAACAATATATATTCAGCTTAATCCTGCTCATGTATATATTCATATACAGTAGAAACCCGATAATCTGAAATGGCAGGGGGATCACTTTTTTTTCGATTTACACAGAAATTCAAGCTATTGAGAATTATTGAGAACGAATTTGTTTCAAAGAAATCGAATCTTTTTTCGTCTTATCGCGATTTTCGATTTAGTTAGGTACGAATTATCGAGACTCGACTGTACATATATATTGCTCAAATATTCATCAGTATATATCTATCGAACCCCAAAAAATATCATATTCAATATATCTGTATGTACATCCATATATCTGTAGATACATATATCTATATGTATTTCTAAAAGTATATCTATATGTATATCTATCCTATCCATCTATATCTATCGCACCCATAGAACTCTTCATGCTGTTACAGCTAGAGACTATCTATATATGTTACACATGCATCCATATAACTGTATATATGTCTTTATGTATATCTATATGCATATCTGTCTATCTATCCATATATGTATATTTATAGATCCCAGAGAGCTACTTGCAGCACGCAAAGATCTCATACTAAGCCCCTCTATGCGATGCTCATTCGAAAAGAGATCTATTTTTGTATATCTATATCTATATCTATCTGCATCCATATATCCCTCTATCTATCCATCTATATCTATCGAGCCCAAAGAGCTTTTCACTGCTCTAGCAGAGCTCGAGGAATTAAAAATTTCTTATATCCACATATATGTGCGTATCAAGTCCTACTGCAATTAGAGCACAACTTGCTTGGGTCTCACACACTGAGCCAAAATTAGATTTCAGGTATCTCTAATCCTGGCAGGCCGAAACTCTAAATTAATTTTCGCTTAACGCAAGTTTCGGCTCCTGTCGGAGGCGTCGGCATGTCGTATAAACTGGGCTCTTTATGTGCCGCTGCCAGTTTTGGTAGTTTGTGCAGTTAATTCGGGTCGCAAAACAAATTTCAATTGCTTCGGGCAGGTAATTAGGCCCTGTTGTTGGCCATTCGATGTGCTGTTAATTAAACTTTGGCAGACCCAAAATCACGCCCATAAATTGAAACTGGGCAGCCAGACGAGCATGTGGGTGGGTGTATGTGTGTGTGTGTGTGTGTGTGTGTGTGCTGTGTCGGTAGCTAATGGCCGTAATTCACAGGTGTAACGATTAGCTGCTGAAGATGGGGGACAAACCGGATGAGCAGCGGCACTTACCTTGCGTGGCTGGAATTCATATTTGACACAATGCTGAAAGCCCTTGCCCTTGACCTTCATCGATGTGAGGACCAGGCAGTTGCCCACAAAGTGGGCCGTATAGCCAACGCCCTTCGATGTCTTGAAGCTAAGATGAAGAGAGATATATAGAGAGAGAGAGAGAGAGAGAGAGAGAGAGAGAGATGAAGTGAGTTAGAGTTAGATATTAACTCGCGTGAAATATATATGAGCGCAATTAGTGCGTGCCACAATTAGTGGCAAGCGCAAGCTGTATCAGTTACTCACCAATAGAGGTAGGGCTTCTCGCGCTCAATGTTCACCGAGTTGATGGGATCCAATCGAAACCAGGTGGTGAAGGTGAATCCATTCTCGTATGGCCACTTGGCCAGCGGCGGCAGCACCATTGCCTGTGGATGAAGAAGAACAAGCAGAGACTTTAGTCAAATGTGCCACAATTAGCCGCACACAGAAACAGAAAGAGACAGAGATATATGCTCAGAGAGCGAGTGAGGGAGAGGCAGAGAGAGAGAGAGAGGGAGTACGCCTGTTAAATCTCAATTAGCAGTTGGTCAGTTTAAGTGAACCACACAAGTTCCTCTCTAGCCAAAGCTCCTTTTTGTGGCATGCAACACTTGGTTGCAAGTCACAAAAGTCACAAAGTCAAGCGTAAAGCCTCGCAGCACTGAGAGCCAAATGAACCAAATGAACCAACTGAACCAACTGAACCAAATGAACCAAACGAACAGACCCCAGGCCGAAACTGAGCATAAATCAAATTTCTGCATATTTGATACCCTGCCAGCTGTACCCTGCAGCGGGTGTATTGGCTTTCTCGCTTGCCTCGATTTCCCATGCATGAATCGATTTGATTTATGTTTTGTTCTGAAAATTGCCATTCAGAGGGCATTTCTCAGTCAGAGACAACTGCGGATGCTGCTGCTGTTCGTTTTAAGCTACCTTCAATTGTTACTTTACACACACACATACACTTACATACCAATAAAGTCAACCGCAAAGGCAAAGCATAAAACCCAGACAGCAGAAGTGAAGCCAAAATTAAAAGGAAATGAGCACATTTTGATTTATCATGAATTTTGTGGCTTTACGGCCGAACAGAAGCACATGGATAGAGCATACACACACAGAGACACACTCACACACACACGCGCGCACACACACACACACACTCGCACTCATTCGCACGCTTAGCTGCGTGTTTAGCTTCATAAATTTATTTGCCCATTTCAAATGCTCGCAATATCTGTTCTTATCATGTTTAAATGACCTCTCACATGAAAAAAAAAAAGAAAAAAAAGGAAAGAAGACAGCTATCTAAATGTTAACTCTCCTGTCTGCCCATTCATAACACCTGAACTAACAGCAAATTCGCATCCGTTTGATTATCTCGACATTTTTGTTGCATTTTGCATTTTGGCAAATTTCGGGTAATTCGCAAATGCGAATTAAGCCAATTTAATTGCGAACTGTTAGGAGCGAAAGAGAGGGGGAGAGCGGGAGAGGGTGAGAGTGAGATGAGAGATGTGAGTGAAGCTCGAATAAGCAGTAAGAGGAAGAGATAACAATATATATTTGTGCTGATTCCCGCATTGACATTGTAACCGTATAGCTTATCCAGTTTTCGAATGGATTTCCAATTCCTGTGAGTTACCGATTCCACTAAAAACTAGACTCAACAATTTTGATAAACTTACTGATGCTCTGAGGAGCAATACCATTCATTTAAAGCTCTCGCCTAATCAAGACAGCTCTTCCTTTCTCTAAACAGAACCCTTCCATAACATCTCCATTATCGTGTGGTTCCATGGAGCATAAGGCTCTATTAAGTACAGAACAGGAACTCTCTTTGAAACAACTTTACACTTGGATAACGCAATGGTCTCTTGAAGATAAATCATGCCAGCGAATCTCGGACAAGTCCACTCGCAAATCAAAATATATCGAAGTACTAAATGTATTTCCATGTATTTCAATTTGTGAGTGGACTTGGAAGGAAGAGAATATAACTTTATTTTGAATTCCAATTATTAAGAGCTGTGGAAATTTCATTGATTTCATGAATCTGTCTGATAAATTTCGAAATCAAAACAGTTTAATAAAAGATCTATTGAGTAAATGAAGGATTCCATTTATAATGACGATTTCTCCTGCTGTCCTTTTACAAATGCATTTTATTCAGTATATTTGTTCAGGGACCCATGAATATCCTTGTTTTTCGAGGAGAGGGGAAAAAGAAGAAGGCTTTTCATTTTCCCATATTGAAGTTCGTTCAAAAGCCTCAAGTTTATCCACAAAAATCGAGCTGTATTGAATGTATGAATACTTGTTAAGCGTCCAGCTGTATTTGCATTCATAACATTCATTTGCCGAGTGAGAGAGAGAGCGAGAGAGAGGGCGACAGAGTGTGTCGTGCTCGTTTTATGATATTCATTTAACATTTATACGCTTTTGTATTCGTTTTCGTAGTTCGCATTCATTTGTATGCGCAGACGGACAGAGCTTCGTGTGGCACGGATATTGTCTTGAGGCCTCGCTCGATTGTGCAACAATGCTGTGTGGCATGTGGCATGCCACATGATTTAACATTGTTGCCTTTTGTCTGCCAACTGTCCCCAACAGCCTCGCTCCCCCTCTCTCTCTCTCTCTCTCTCTCTCTCTCTCTTTGTCTGTCTTGTGCCATCTCCTTCTGCTGTCATGCTGACCCTCTAGCCCTCTGGCTGGGGGCGACTCATTAGCGCAACGCCGGGACCTAGAGGCACAGCCATCAACCCACATTAAAGTCTAAAAGTGCGCTAAGCGAAAATTAAAAAAAAAAAAAAAAAAAAAGAGAAAATAGAAAATAGAGGGGAGATAAAAGCAGGAGCGGAAGCGAGCAGGAGGCGCAGCTCATGTCCATTGAGCTGAGCGTTTTAGTGATTGGGAGTTGGGTGCGTTTGGGGATCTGGGGGGTAACATGTCCTGCCTGTTTATTGAACATTTTGTGACAATTGCTCTGCGAGTCTCTCGTTTTGTTTCATTTCATTTCATTTCATTTCGCATCGTTTCGTATCGCATTTGACTTCCAATTCGCTTTATGGAACTTTTTATGTGCTTATCCTATAGACAGATAGCAATAGAAGTCGCCCATGGTGCGAGCGAGTGTGTCTGAGTGTGTGTGTGTGTGTGTGTGTCTGAGTGCCAGGGGTGGGGGTGTGTCAGCTGAGACAGCAGAGTTGGCACATGCCACATGGACAGCTCACATTACGAATTCGATTTAAGTGCGACGCAATAAAATAAAAGCCCAGCCCCAGCCCCAGCTCCAGCCCCAACCCATCCCACTCACTCTATCTAGTCGAGCCTCCTAAGCCTCCAGCTATAGAAATGCCACAGGGCGTAGTTGGAGCTGAAGTGCTCCAAGTGCCGGAATGTCTCAGCACTTAAAGCCAGCTTGCAATTCGGCCAGAAGCCAGCAGCAAGCGGGAGTAAATCCACCTAGGGTGGGTATGCCCAACTGGTAGATACTCTATATGCATGAAAAAGCAGATCTTTTAAATGTCTTATAGCATATATATTAAATATAGTTGACTTTCAAAGAAAATATTAATAAATCGATAGATACATTCTGCCGATATTTATCGATTTAATAATTTTGAATATATATGTGCTATAAGACATTTTAAAAGTTGAGCTTGAGTGATATAAGCATCGTATTACTTCCTAGTTGGGCTTCTATGCCAATAACTCGGAATCGATATTTATCGATTTAAGTAATAAGAAAATATTGCCAAATAAATGGCCAATGAATAATACTAAAAATGAACATTGCTCCAAGCTAATATAAATACTACTTTAAGACTTTATTTATTAAGTTTAACTGATAATCGATATTTATCGATTTGATAAAAACAGATTAAAAGTAGCCGGATTACAACTTATAATGACAGAGACCAGTAGGGCTAGATATGTCCTACACAAGAATTATACCTCGATACTACTGGACTTTAATCATCCCAAACTTTTCCATGTAATCAGATTCCGATAATACAAAATGTGTCGAGGCAATCTGCCTGTTACTTAGGCCGCCCGTAGTCAATATACCCACACATAGTTCGCTCTCAATGAGCACAGGGTACACAAATAAAACGAGAATCGATTATTGCTGTTGTTTATTATTATTAGATATGGACTTACCGATCCCTTGCGGCCGGGAAAGCTGAAGAACACATCGGGTCCGTTGCGGTGCGGCATTTGTCGCAGCACATTCAACAATTTGGCCGAGTGACGCGGCCATTTGCCATTGTTGGCCTTCATCGTGCCAAAGAGCAGCTTCAGCTCCTTGACCGTTATGCTATAGCTGGCCAATACGCCCAGCATCTCGATGAGCAGATCTGCAACATGGAACGAAACAGAGAATGGGTTTAGTTATGGCATCCAGGCATCAGAGTGGGCGTGGTGTGCTGTGCTGTGCGTGTCATGTTTAATGGCTTTGAAAACTGTTGTCGACAGCTCAGCGTGGGATGCAACGTGCGCAAATATCAGGTGTATGCGAGCTACACTGCACGAAAACATGTTCACTTATACAGACAAACTGAAAACTGGGCTAAAGCATATTGAAATCGTATGGAAGTGCAAAAGACTTTGATAATGTGAAGACGTTCATAATAAAGTCTGGGTTAACTTGAAAAAAAAAAAAAACAACAAAAAAAAACTGAAATATGTATTTCTAATCCCTATCTCTCCCAAATGTATTCAGCTTGGAGTATCAAAAAATCCCGAGCTCTACCACTTTCAGCTACAAACTAAGCAAATGAAAGGCTGATAGAAAATTATATTAAAATCCTTTATTCCCAGCTGCTGTTGACCTTTTGGATCAACTGATTCGCACATCCTACATCAAAATGCAAATGGCATAGGCTAAAGTTCGCCAGGCCAAGATCGCAACGCGACTCACAGTCAAACACTTTCGGCCAGTGTCACTAGAGCGAAGTCTGTTTGTGCACATGAGAACTTTCGGCGAGTGCAGTCAGCAAATAAAATAAACGAGATAGCTGCGAGCTGAGCGCGTGCAGTGAAGCGGCAAGGACGCTCTTAAAGCCAGGCGGCGACAGCGGTTGCATTTGGTAGGCGTGGCAAGGCAAGGCTATAGGAGCCCCCACTCATCAAACAGCCACGCATCAAGGTCAGTGCGTGAAACGAGCTGGAAATTGAATTCGAACTGTCATTGAATGTGGCATAAAACCAGCTAACGAGAGAGAGAGAGAGAGAGAGAGAGAGAGAGAGAGAGAGGGAGAGAGAACGGGGCAGATCGACAAAAAGGTAACGTATCGAGTGGTGGTCGCACGTGCTGCCAGTTGGCTTTAAATTGCAGCGCAAGCAGCGTTGCCAGACTGGCACGTTTTGCGTGTGTGTGTGTGTGTTTGTGTCGCCGCTCACCTTAGCCTTTGGCAGGACGGCCTCGACTCTCGTGCTATTCCCAAACTTCATTTGTAATGCACACTAATTGAAATGGGACGCACGGGCCGTTTTAATGCCTGGCCGGTTGCCTGGGCCATTACCCCAAGGAGCTGTGGCGCTGTCAGCCAACCAGCCGAACAGCCATTGCGACAGTCAAGTCTCGCCGTCGCCCTCGCCCCTGCCACCGCCCCTCCTACTCAATGTTCTCCCTGCCCCTCACTCTTTATAAGGTTACACGGTTTCCAGTTGCGCCTCCATCAACACGTTTCGGGTAGCGTAAATTAAGAAATTGAGTAACATCCACGTCCCGCCACCCGCCACCCGCCATCCGCTCACCCCGCCGGCCTACGCCGCCCACAGCTATAGCTTGAAGTCCCAGGACAATGTTGGCCCTTCAACCCATGCTCCGCCTACAGCATCAGCATCAGCATTTAATTACACACATCTCTGGCCCATGCTCCAACTCTAGAGCTTCTGCTCCTGCTGCTGCTCCTGCTCCAGCTCTGTCTTCGTCTGCTGCAATGGCTTGAAGCGGAATGACAATGCGACTAGGAATCCTTCAGCGCTTCATCTGTCTATCCGACTGTCAGTCTATCCATCTGCCTGCTGCCTCCTGCCTGCTGCCTCCTGCCTCGCGCCTCCTGCTTCTTCCATCCCTGGTTACCCGTCAAAGTTTAACTGCCTTTTGCATATCTTGGCATCTTCTGCAGCTCATAAAAAGCCAAAGTGCGAGAACTTGACAGCTTTTTACGTCTCCCAGACCTACGCCCGTCCACAGCTGTATCTCGTTGTATTTATTTTTTCTTTTTGTTAAGTTCTCATCAAGAGCAATAAAAAAGTCAAACTTGCCGTATGAAATTTCCAGATAGTTTTAAGAGCCAAGCAGGCAGATATAAAGCAAACTTAAGACGAACATGTTAGCCAAATTTTTATATGCCATAACAACAGGAAATGTGCCAAGGAACGATATAAGATTACCAAATTAAATAAAACCAGAAGGCAATTCATACAACAAAGTCGCTGAAAATGCTTTGAGTGTGCAAGAGATGATGCATCATAATAATCGATAGTCGATAACATCGAGAGATGATAATGCACCATAATGATCGATAAACGATAACATGGAAATCGACAGACGATAGCATGGAAATCGAAGTACCTGTTGCTCTCGATTTCCAAACTCTTTTGGGCTCTCATATATAGATGCCTAGATAGAAGGGTGCGTTGAGTAAACTATTCATTTATTCCAGCACATAAATACAATATATTCTAGAGAACTTCAATGAATCTTCAGTTGGACAAGGTATCTTCTAGTCGAACATTCCTCATTTTAATCTAGCATATATATATAGTATATTTCGCAATCTAAACACTCTAAACATTCATCAACCTATCTCGCCCTATGCCGACCAACTAAGGTGTCTATGAGTCGAACACTCCCTACCTAAGCATTCTTCTCTATTTGGTAGCTAATGGATACCTAAATATTTGATAAAATTTAATTTCAATTTATTATCAAATTAGCTATAATTGTAGCTAATGGAACTAAAAGTCTTCTCTCTTTTAGACAGGCAGAAAAAGAAACTCAAAGTTTCTCAAGTTTTTACCGTTGTTAATTCGAGAAGAAGCAGAAGAGACAGAGAGAGTGGGAGTGGGAGAGAGTGAGAGTGAGAGGGAGAGAAGTTTTAGCTTATGTAATTTCTTGGCAAGTGTCACGTTTCGACATTTGTCAGGTAACACACACGCACACACCTCCATCACACACACGCACACACACACATACACACACACATATGAAATTATGGCTCAAAAGTCAGCGACTGCAAATTGACAGCAGTTACAGTTCGTTAAATGCCAACTGGAGTGGGGGGAATGAGGCGGGCTTTGGGCTTGGGGCTTATGGCTTAGGGCTGGGTAATAGGGGTAGCAGGTGTGGCTGGAGTGTGGAGTGCGGAGTCCGGAGTCTGGCAAGGCCCGGCCTGACGTGCCAGAGGGTTGCCAGACCGCAGATGTGTCATTGACTTAATAAAATCAAAATCAAAGCCAAAGGCACGCACACGCTGCTGGCAGCTTAACAGGGGATGTGTGGGGCCAGACGGGCGCAGGGGTTGCTGGAGGGTCGAATGGGGGAGTGGATGTAAGTGTCAGTTGGCTGTTCGCTAATGAACAGAAAATTTGCTGCGCTGTTTGTTGTTGTTGTTGTTGTTGCTGCTGCTGTTGATACATTAGAGCAGAGCGTGAGTTTAGATACGAGACAGAGAGTGGCAGGAGGGAGAGAGAGAGAGAGAGGGCGAGTGTGAGTTGTGGAGCAGGCGAATGCTTAGCATACATGTGGGCGCTGTGGGCATGGCCAAAAAATGGCAGCCACCGCGGGCCAAACGCAGCCAGTGCGGTCCACTGGGCGTATCACGGCCGCTGACAAGCGTGAAATTAATCGAAAAGCAATTCGACGGCCCACTCTAAAGGGAAGCAAAGCAAAGCAAAGCAACGCAACGCAAAGCGATGCGATGCGACGCGAAGCTTCGACTTCTTTATTTTTTGGACACATGCCACATGGCAGGAATCACAAAGTAGCCCGCGACACAGGCAGAGAGATAAAGAGAGAGTGAGAGAGAGAGAGAGAGAGAGAGGGGGAGAGGGAGCATGTTCTAGTCCAGCTAATGCGTGACCAAAACAAAGCTCAACTCAAGCTGACTTAACTTGACCATTTTGAATAGACCAGCAGACAGAGGAGGGAATCAGAAGGGGGGTAAGAAGAATATATACAGTCGAGTCTCGATAAATTGAAAAACAAAATACATTCCCCTAGAAAAATCTTCATTCTCAATAATTATCGATAATTCAAATTCGAATTCAAATTTCAAATTTTCGAGTTTCGTTTATTTGTGAATTAATTTTTTATCTAGATAAAATATTTGTCGGTTTGTTTTTTGTGTAAACTTCGACTTTACTGCATTTCAATTTATTTAAGATTTATTTCATTTCAGACTTTTGCTATAGGGCCAATTACAATTCACATACAGTTTCATCTTCACTTCTATTTTTTTGTTTCTCTTTTTGGCTTTCGTCTTTCATCCTCTATCTCAGTCACATGTCTTGGTCTCTCTTAGCAGTTCCATTAGATTTCCTCTATATGCAAAACATTTATCTTGATCTGGGACATTCAACTTACGATTGGCAGCTAGCTTGATTGTCTAATAAAAAAGTGTTTCATTAACAAATAATTAAAATGTAAAACCAAAGCCAAGCCCCTATGAACTCGACTTTTAACCTTGAGCTGAAGTGCAAAGTTTCTGTTGAATTTTTAAATAATTTGAATATGATTTTTCGTTAAAAGGCTTAACTAAAAACTAAACAACTTTTCGTGACCTTTTGAGCTTTACACTTGGCTACAAAGAAAACAATACATTTAAAACAAAACAGTATACATTAAATATTAATATATAATAACTGATCTAACTGACTGAGAATGATGCAAAGTGAAGCAGCATCGCATATAAGAGACCTCCCAGCATTGAGCTGCATGTACATATATTCAAGTGAGTCACTTAAAATAGGACTTCTTCACATGATATTCTGTTGTCTCATATATAAGGGCTTCTATAAAAGAGAAAAGAAAATAGTCTCAAAATAAAACCCATTTAATATTTGAAACCTTTTCCTGTATGATAGCAATTTCTTTTCCCACAGCTTTTATTTGGTCATCCCAGAGAATAGTTTTCTCTTCATTTATTTCCTGTTGTGCTTTACTACTTTTTACATAACTAACGAGCTGTTGTGCGAGTGTGTGTGTGTGTGTGTGTGTGTGTTTCCGTGCTGTTTCGACTTACCTGCCACAACCGTTTCGGAGCGCTGCAATCGCACCAGAACATGCTCGATGAGTCCCACATCTGTGCAGGCCTGCAGATTGCGAACGCTTTTTCGCAGAATCGCAATGAAAACGCTCCAGATCTCGGCCTAAAATGAGAAAGAGACGGAGATGGAGATGGAGTGAATATAAGTAAAGCGATATTAGTGAGCTGAGCAGTCACAAAGGCAAAAGTTTACAATGCACTGATATATCAAGTACTCGATTCCCCGGTGTGAGTACCCAAGGGAGCCAGAGGCAAAGCGGAGCAGACAACAACAACAACAACAACAAGGAACGAAAAAAAACGACAACAAAAAGTTTAGCCCGAAGCAAATGTATTACGAAATCAAAGAAATGACTGCGATTGCTGCTATTGTTGTTGTTGTTGTAGGTGCTTCAATGTCTGCCCTGTTCAATAAGCAGAGTAAAGTGACGCACACACACACACCCACACACATACAATCACATATATGAAGCGAAGCAACTCGCGAGCTTAGAAGTATGCAACATTTTTTATGCTGCGCTGCAGTGCCTCTTTCTCTCTCTCTCTCTCTCTCTGTGTGTGTGTGTGTGTGTGTGTGTGTCTAATGTAAACAGTCATTGAAATAAAGTAAAATAATGGAAAATAATGGCGAAATAATCGCAAGCTCAAAACGAAGCAGCTTCAGCGGCTCGGCGGCTCATGAGTTGCTGCTGGCAGCGACTGATTCACTGTTTCGACTTTCAAATGCCAGAGACAGAGTAGATATATATATAGATAGATATACACATACATATATACAGTTCACTGGGGAGCTGCTGCTGTGCCAGCTAGGGGCTGAGAGGGGGGCGTGGCAGTCGTTTTGCCTTGACTGTGAATGTATTATTGCCGCAATATTTGTGCGGCAGCCACTTTTGGCAGGAAGCAAAAACGTTTTGGCGGTTTTTATGATTATTGCCTTACACACACACACACATACATTCAGTAGAGATTGCACATTGGACTGGCTATTGCATATACACACACACACACACACACACACATAAACGTATAAAATTCATATAATTTTCGTTAGGTTTCTTTTCATATATATTTTTCTTGTTGTTGTTTATTTTGCTTTTTATTTATATTTCTTTTGTTGTTTCTTCTCCATTTGTTTGTTGTTTTTGCTTTGTTTTATTTTCTGACAAATGCAGACAATGAAAATGTAAACGTTTTGAGTGTTTATAATGAGTGCTGAACGCCCAAGCACTCGAGCACCTCGAGCACTCGAGCTGAGCTTGCGGTCCACGCAGCGTATGCGTGATATTTAAACAGAAGCAACAACAGTGCTGCAAAGTGCTTTAAGCTGTAATGGAATCCGGCTTATGATTAACTTGGAGCTGTGAGCAGAGCGCCAAGTATACTCGGGCATAGCTAGAGCTGGAGCTGATGAGCGGGGCCATTGCAGAATATTCTTATTTAAAATGTGAACTAGTTCCAATATGAGTTGAACTGAATTGAACGCGTTTAGTTCAGTCCTTAGTATGTACAGAGCGAAACTATCGTGAGTTACGCGCGACTGGTTCATATGAACATTGGATAAGTGAACAAAGTTTGAGAACTGGAACTAGTCGGAGTAGTATTTTCAATGTGAGCTGGTTCTAAATTGAACACTTCATCGGCTGAAAACAGGAACTAATGTGAATTAAGAGCAACTGGCTCATTTGAACATTGGCTGCGTGAGCTAAGCTCGAGAGATGGAGCTATTAAGAGAAGTATTTTTTTAATATGAGCTCGTTCTACGGAACTGAATTGAACACTTCACTAGCTGAAAAGAGAAATTAACGAGAGTTAACAGTGACTGGTTCATATGAACTGACCCACATTCGCTGAGTGAACTAAGCTTGAGAAATGGAACTCGTCAGAGAATAGTTTTTGATTTTGATATGATAGTATAGAATATTATTGTATTGATTGTACACTAGTTCAATGAACGGAACTGAACTTTATCCTTTTTCTAATGGATTCATTCGCTTAAACAAGATCCATGCACAGTCAATTAGCTGCATTTCTTTCATACAGTTTATCCATTCCAAAATCGGTTCCTGCATATTGTGAAGCAGTTCGTATCAGTGAGCTCATTTGATCTGGCTCATTGTCGATTGCTAAGCGATAGTTAATCGATTGTTCAATCATTAATTCATGGGAATTTCATTAAATTTTCTCGCCAGCTTTGGCTCTGCTTTCGCCTTAATTTCCACATTGGATTTGTGTGAAAATCTGCGTCTTTTGCTTTTTCTTCTTCTTCTTCTTCCCCTCTTGATTTTGTTTTTATTCGTTCATTCCTTGTTGCTTTTGTTGTTGTTCTTGCCGTTTCTCTTGCCATCGTCACGTTATCTGTTGCTTAGCTCGTTTTACGCATCATTTCGCTCAGCATCCGTTTAGCCAGTTTCTTTTGCTTATCGTCTTGCTCTTGGTCTTTCTCTCTCGCTCTCGCTCTCGCTCTCGCTCTTGCTGCTGTTGTTGTTTTTTAATGTACTGCACGCATAATTTAATTCGTCGATTCATAAATTGCCAACAAAAATTCACTCACTCATTGCCCGTGGGCCACGCCCACGCCTACCTGCCTGCTCGACATCATTATGCAGCCAAGGACTCGGGCTTTGCCGCTTTACAGCTGTCGCGGCAAAGCGGCTTTTGGACTGTGCACAAATACGCATTTACATAAGCAAGCGCCTCATGCACATACATACATATATTTGCCTGTGTGTGTGTGTGTGGAAGTGTGTGTGTAAGTGGACATGCGTTGCTGCGGGTAATTTGATCAGCTCTGCCACCAATTGCGCCCAAAAAGACCTCTGCACACACACACACACACACACACACACACAACACACACACACACACACACAGTTACAGAATGGGAATCAGAGCAGCTCTCTGCTTGCCTCCAGGCACTGCTTGCGCTCAGCCTAATGCGTCTCCCCGTCAATTCGTTCAGCTGCTCGTTTTCGCTTGCCATTTCGTAGTTATATCTATACCCTGTAATTTGAATGCGCCCCAAGCTGTTTGGCTGCGCTCCCCAGTCGCCTTAAGCTTTAAGGCTCCACTCATGGAAACCTTCTATTGTGTAGCCTTAGCTTCGCCTCGACTTTTGCTCTACTTCGACTTGACTTCTCACTCCAATCCTTATATTCAATCTTCCCTTGAATATTTTCCTTAATCGTGTGCTCCACTCTAGGTGCATTGACAGGGTATTGCCTAGTCTTAAACACTCTCAGTTGGCATATTTAATTTTGTATTCTCTCTTTGCCAAAATGTTGCTCATAGCCAAATACAAAGTTGATTTGACGCCGTTGCGTTTTGTTTTTTACAGCATTATTTCTTAATAAGCGCCAAGCGGCCTCTCCTCTCTCTCATTCTCTCTCTCCCAATGCCTCCCCCGCCACGCCCACTAAGCTCTATGCTGAACTAAATCCCAGCAGCCAGAGAGCAAAATGAATGGAAGCAAGCAAGAAATATCGCTGGGCAGAGCGAAGACAAAAATTAAATATAAAAGAGAAAGAAAACTTCAGTCAGATTTTATTACGTAATTGGGTAGCAATTTCTGCATGAAGCAACAATAACAACAACAACAGCAACAGCAACAGCAACTAGAGTGCCTGGCAAGAGAAGAAGAATAGCTACAACAACAAGGGCCACTGAGCACAAATTAAATTTTAGCCTTTTTTTTTTGGTGTTGTTGTTTGTTGGCTTTTTTCATGGCTTTATCTTGCCGCTCTTATGTATGCCACATGCGGGAGGGCCATACACACACACTCTGACAGAGAGAGAGAGAGAGAGAGAGAGAGGGAGAGAGGGAGAGAGAGACGCACTGAAGCGGCGACTGTCTATTGTTGTTATTGTTGTTGTTGCTAAGGTTAAATTGAGCATCGTCCGGCCGAAAGTCAGGCCCAGATTTGACAACGAAAAATTAAAAATTAAATACATTCCTTCGTTTAGGGTTCAGAGTTTAAAGTTGCTTTTTTTCAAGCAAAAAAAGAAGAAGAAGAGCAGAAGAAGAGCAACTCTTGGAAATATGGCAAAAGTTTAATTGGCACAAGAAAATATTTCTGCTTTCTATCTTGCAGAAGTTTTTGCTGTTTACCTTCTTCTTCGGCTGCTTCTTTGCCTTTAAGTTGGAATCAACTTTGTTCGTGGAGCTACGCTTGGAGTCATTTGGACTCCATTTCAGAATTTGTCATAAGAGTTTTGTCTCACTTTCTGATACTACAGAGACAGATAAAGATACTAAATGCCAAATACTAATTGATACATATATATCGTATTTATTGTACACGAGTATACCCTATACATATACCTATACCATATACATATACATATATCACATGCCTATCATATATAAAATGTATCGACATGTATCGTATTTATTGTATTATTACGATATATATTGTATACGTATATACCCTTTCGTGTATATTATATCATGTATCGTATATATAACATGCATGCATGTCTATCATATATAAAATTCGACATGTATCGTATTGATTGTATACGAGTATATCTTATATATAACATATGTATATTTCATATCTTATCTGTACAATATCCTATATATGTATCGCATTGACTTGATAATAGTATATATTGTATATCGTATGTATGTATGTATATAATATATGGTACATATGTATGACATATATCGTATGGCTATCATATATAAAAGCTGATATGTATCGTATATCATATATCGTACATATGTATATTATATTTCCAATATGTACTATGTATTGGTCATAATGTATATGTCACATACATGTATCGTACATACATATGTGTATCATATATAATATATCGTGCACGCATATATTATATTTCCTATAGTATATATCTCATTTATGAATGCATCGCATATATATCGCATATATCGTATATACCACCTGTAACACATATCATATATATTGCATATATCATACAGTCGACTCCTGTTATATCAAACCTGCGTTATCTCGAACCTCTCATTAATTCAAAGTTATAACTCAGTAATTCGAACTAAAAATCATTGCTAAGACGCGGTAGTTCGTACTCATATGGTTAAACACTCGACAATTCAAAATATTTTAAGAGTCCCTTGAATTTCGA